CGTCTTCACATGTTGTTAACTGCGCTGCGTAGTTTTTCGCCCGCGCATCTACACGGTATGCTACTTTTAACAGCCAGTCCTTTTGTTTGTGGGTATTCCGTCTAAATCCGCCCCACCCTTCGTGATAATTAAGGTATTGAGCGCCAGCATCCCATTTCGATATCTTGTTCACTTGATTTGTTTTTGCTATATACCATCCCATAAAATCGATAGCATCTTCGAAATCATCACGGTCTGCAAACCGATTCCCAGTCTCGCGCTTATAGTCGTCCCAGGTCATATCTTTTGCCTGAGCATATCCATATGCAGAGCTCACTCTACCCTAAACCCTAAACCCTAAACCCTAAACCCTAAACCCTAAACCCTAAACCCTAAACCCTAAACCCTAAACCCTAAACCCTAAACCCTAAACCCTAAACCCTAAACCCTAAACCCTAAACCCTAAACCCTAAACCCTAAACCCTAAACCCTAAACCCTAAACCCCAAAACCCTAAACCCTAAACCCTAAAACCCTAAAGTCGTAAATGTGCGATTTACGTGGATTAAATGGATGTTCACTGTCAGTGAAATTTTAGGGGAGTTCCGGATTAGGGGATTGCAAGTTGGGTTATATTTAAGAAATATATCAAATGAAAATTTAGGGGTTGATCGATTTATTTAGTACTCCATATCCTGCTGTAAAACTATCGGCGGCATGTTTCTAAAATCTTCAACTTGAAGTCTTGCACCACTTTTCGTCTTTAAAGTGAACTCTCTTGCTACGCCTTGTTTTGGTTTCGTCTCGTGTATGCCTTTCATGTGCACGTCCATGCGTTTATCGCCTCTGCTCGTGTCCGAATTTGCGAGTTCGCGAACTATTTCCGGCGAAATCAAGTAATGGTTTTGATGCGCCGAGGCCAATTTACTCAGACGTTTCTTTTGCTCTTTCGAGAGCTCGTGTTTATATCTTTGCACAAAACACAAGAACGATTGGTGCCAAACCACTGGTAACGTTCTGTCTTCGTTGGCAAATCTGAGGAAGTTCTCGACCAACGCGTCCACGACTCTGTACGGCAACGCGTATTTCTTGTCTAACAAGACGCGAATGAAAAACGACGTCGTCCCGGCGTATTCCAACTCGGAAAGTTTCATCAACACAGCCGCGGAGTGTAACGCAGGCACGGACGTTTTTGCCAACACCGAAGACAAAACGACCGCTTCTCTTAAAGTGCACGTTTTGCTTTCACACAACGGCAATAAAATGCCTTTAAACCACGCGCCCGGCTTAAACGTAGCTTTTCGCAACGCTTGATACAACGCGTGGTGTAACCTCTTATGTTCTTGAATATCGTCTCGCACTCTGGGTAACAAAACTAATACGTAGAATCTCTGCGCCATGTGTTCGTTTAAGTTTGAAGCAAACAGTCTCGTCGCTTGAAACATTGCGTGTGGTGACCACGTGTCCGGCCTCGTCAACCATAACACTTCCTCCCAATTCGACAACGCCGGTATAATTTTAAACGCCTTCGGGAACTTCCCAGTTGTGTATCGTTTCAGCAAGTCCCCTACTTTCCTGTACACCTGCAAAACTTTTTCATCGATACCTTCCGGCGCGAACTCTTCCAACATCGCCGCTTTCTTTTGCCGTTCGTCCTCGTCGTCTTCCAACATCTCCAACGCCGCCCCTTGCTCTTCCGCCTCTTTATCGTGAATCTTTTCTAAAATCATATCCGCCAACGAGCGTTGCTGTCCTCCGAACGGATTCATAAACGCATTCAAAGCTTGCTCGTCTTCTTCGTCCAACTCGACGTCCGAGTATTCCTCGTGTTCGTACTCTTTATCTAGGTTGTACGCGAACTCGCTTCTCTTGTCCTCTTCGGAGTCGTATTCTAATTCAGCTTCGCCTTCTTCTTCATCGAACGCGTTCTTTTTATTCGTATTCTTATTATTATCTCCATTGTCGTCGTCGTCGTCATCTGAATCATCTGAATCATATTCTTCTTCTATTCCGTGATCTAACATCGAACTCTTTCCTTCTAATAAAATCTGTCTCCCTTGCGACGGTTTTCTTTTTGCCTGTTTTTGTGAGGAGCCGCCGCCGCCGGCATCTCTTTCTTCTTCTTCTTTCTCTTCTCGTTCGATATCTTCCAACTGTTTCCTCGCTTGGGCCATGATTTTATTCGATAAATTGTCGTGGATAAAGTCCTCCTCCGGTTGTCTCGATCTTTTCTTCTCTTTCTGTTTCTTCGGGTTCCTCTCTGGAGCGACGTTGTCTTGTTCAATCTGTCGGTCGATTGGAAGAGAATGCGTTTCTTTCTTGGGCGTTTTGATTTTGCTTCGTCCTCCCATTTTGTTTTACTTCTTTTATTTAACGTTTCAGTGTTTGTTTGATTGATTGATTGATTGTTCTCTCTCTCTCTCTATTTTATGTGAATATATGAATGCGTTTATCGCTTTATCTGTTGTCTTCTCTCGTCTATATTTATTGTGTGTTTGTTTTCTGTGTGTTCTTCTTCTTCTTGGTGTAAAATTTCTTTTGTAAAAATTCTTTTTCTGTCTGTGTTTGGGTGAAAAAACACCAGTGAAAAAACAAAGAGGAGGCGTAGTAGATACAAATAAGAGAGAAGAAGAAGAAGACGATGATGATGATGACAACAACAACAACGAAAAGAAGATCTTCTTCGTTGTCTTCTTCTTCGATGCTCTTTTATTATTACTTCTTCTTCTGTTTGAACGCGTTCTTGACAATCTTCGCAATCTTCAAAGTCGAAACGACGAACGCGCAACAGGACAGATTGGTGCACTCGTCGAGACGAGATGGGAACAGCGCAGCCTATTACCAACAACGACAACAACAAAACAAAGGAGGTAAAGGAGATGATGATGGCGATGATTCATCGCACACGTACTCTGCGCGACGATTCGCGAAACAAGACACTCGAGGATCGTCTTCGTACGACCCGTCCAGAGCTTTACATCCGTCCATGTTATTCCACGATGGGCCGAGTTTAGAGGCGAGATTTAACAAGCCGTTCGGCGTCGTCGCATCTCCGGACGGGAGAGATATATTCATCGCGGATACGTTTAACCACAGAATACGGCGGATAGACGTGGAGTTTGGGACGGTGACGACGTTAGCTGGGACCGGGGCGAGTGGGAGTGCGGATGGTTTAGCGAAGAGAGGGGACGCGACGTTTAAGTTTCCATCCGGCGTGGCGGTATCGCCGGACGGCGGGTTCGTATACGTCGCGGATACGAAGAATCATAAGATTCGAGTAATTATATTAGGGAGCGGAGTGGTAAGAACTGTAGCGGGATCTGGATTAACCGGTTACCACGACGATCTAGTCGGGACGAAAGCGAGGTTTAATCAGCCGATGGACGTGGTCATGCACCCGGACGGGCACACGTTGTTCGTCTCGGATGCGATGAATAATTGCATACGGAAAGTGGACGTGCAAAGCGGGGAGGTGACGACGTTGACGGGAGACAAACTTCCAGGAATGATAGACGGTATAAAATCTAACGCGAGATTTTTACAACCCATGGGTATGTCGTGTAGCACAAACACCGTGTTGGATGGCGGCGGCAAATCGAGCAACAAGTGCACGTTTTTAGCCGTGGCTGATGCTGGGAACCACGCGGTACGATTAGTGAACACGGAGACCGGGGCAGTGGTCACGTTAGCCGGAGGTAAAAGTAGAGGATATAAAGGAAACGCGCTTGGTATCGATACGCTCTTTGCGAAGCCGACGGCGGTATCGTTCGTGCCGTCCTCGCTATCGGCGATGATGGCCGCGTCTTCCTCCTCGTTGTTTCAGTCGAAGAAGAAGGAGAAGGAAAAAGTGTACGTTTTAGTCGTAGACTCTGGAAACGGCGCGGTAAGAAAAGTTCCCGTTTTCGACGACATCGCGGCGGCATATCCGGATGGGTCCAAAGACGACACATCGTACGAACCAAACTGGGAAAATGCGGGGAAAGTCGTCGACGTGACGGTTGTGGATAAATCCAATCACATTCGAGACTATTTAGGTCGTCGATCGCCGACGAAATCATCATTCGATGTTCCGTTTGGCATTTCCATTTGCTTAGACTCGCAGCGCGTATACGTGACGGATAGAGGGAACCCGTCGTCGATTAAATTATTAGACTTGGAGAGAAAACTCGCCCGAACGGTGGCGGGAGCGTTGAACGTAGAATTCGATCACACGCAAAACGAGAACGGCGATAGTTTAGTAGACGACACGGACGACCACGAAATGACGAAGCACTTGACGGGTATTTATGACGTTCGCCACAGAGGTGGCATATCAAACGCGGTGAGCAACAAAGATTCTTTACACCCGAAAGTTGTCCACGAAGCGAGAACGGGCGAGTCACACAGCGCTTCCGCAGTGTGGGCCGAAGGTGTCGAAACGAACACCTTAGCCATGTCCCACGATTCTTTTTACACCCATCACGGCTCTATGGCTGGTACGTTTGGATCGATGATGGATAAATACGAAGAGGCTAAAATGCGCGCAAAGAATACGAGCATGGGCAAACGCTTTATTCGATGGTGGGTGTCTTTATCGCTCTTCATGCAAGTGTTTTACTATTTGCTCTTCCAAGTCGTTTGGTACATTGGATTAAAGTATCTGTGCAAAAAATCCGCTATTTTGAACAGATTTGTCGAATGGACGTGCGAAAAGTCCGGATATAACAGATTTGCCGCGTGGTTTTACATGAAAACGAAACCGTTGCGCGATTATTTATATCCAATCTTTGACGTGCTCTATCGAAGAGTGGTCGTTCGCGCGGTAAATGCGATTTTGCCTAAATTGAAACTTTGGTACCAAAAGTACCCAGTAATTCAAAAAACGATCGAAGTGATTAAAACTTTTGCGATTAGAATCATCAGCACGATTCAATCCGTCGTCTCTACGATCGTCTTTAACAAGCTGCTTCCCTTCGTGCAAAAATACAAAATCATTGTCTCCATGAGACTGCGACGCGTCTCGCCAAAGTTAGCCGCCTTCTTCGACGCGATTCCAAATAAACTGAAAGAGTTATGGAGAACCATAAAAGTATGGTTCGCGCGCATGTACAATCAGTTCAGAAGCGCGTACGCGAGACACACTAGTAATAATAGAAATAGAAGTAGCAACGAACCGTCGATGGCGCCGGCGACGTCGCGCGTAAACGGAGGAATGAAATCTTTCGCCTTCTCCTCCGCCACGGCGCAAGCTATGTCCAGACATCCGCCAGCCTCGATGAGTGCGGACGTCGTCAGAAAGTTACGCGAACAACGAGGAGCCTTAAACGACGACAACAACAGTCGACACAGAGATTAATATTACGTGTGTACAGAAATCAAATCAAAATGTATTATTACTTTAGAACCTGTTCCTACTCGTACTAGCGGTATCGTTTCATTTTTTATAACTGATTCATTTCTTATAACCCAGCTGCTGTAAATGTCACTTCCTCTGCTTTTAAAGTCTTCAAATTTAACAAGACGACGCTCCCGGTTTCGCTAAAGCTTGGTACGGAAACCAACACGGATTTTTGTGACGCTACTACTATTTCTCTCGAACCAAACGCGCTTTGACAACCCGCAAAGAACACGTCCGGGACTTGTGTTATAACGAAAGGATCTCTGTCTTTGAAGGGATAGCAAGCCAACGTATCAGGCGCGGACGGGGCCATGTGTCCCCATTCTAAAAATCTCTCCATGACATCTAACACCGCTTTTGCTTTTTCCTCCGGTGTTTTTCCCTTTATGCCGACGCCGCTCGAGGTGATTTGTAAACAATCGCGAACGTTTTGCCCGGACGTTCCCAGAAACGTTCGCGATGAGGACGATGTGGACGCATCATCTGATGATGGTGTGATTTGAAACTCGTGAGGGTTGGTCACTTTCTTCAACGTCGACCCTTCGAATCGAGCCGCGTTTGGTAGGAAACAACTGTGTATGGGTTGTTGCGGCAACGCCGAGTTCGTCGGGTCAGAGCTCCCGGGCATGAGATCAACGGGCACCATTTCGCAAACTTTCGCGAGAAACGCGTCCGCTTTTTGAATCGACGATGACGTCGCTTTCTTTTTCGTATCGGCGTGGGTCCCACCTTCGCCGTTTGTCGTCGCCTTGGCGCCTTTCTCTCCTTGGACGCGTTCTTCCTCTCTCGTTTTCGAGGAAACCAATTCACCGCACACGAGCACTTGGCTAATTCCGCCCGCTTGCTCCTCATCGCCTAAACTGCCTTCGATGTATTCGCTCAACATGATCGCGCGAACGTCGTTCAAGGGAGATGCGCCAAAATTCAAACCAGAAACTAAGCACACGTATGTCTGTTCGCCGCTTTCGTCTTCTTCCGTTACCTTTGTCGTTGACTTTGCCGACGACGACGGCTTTGCAAATGCCACAGAATCGACGACGAAATCACCGTTATTGTTCACGCGTCCTTTACACGCCGCCGAAACACCAGTCACTAACTCCCCGACCTTCACTCCGGGCCCTTGTAACTTTACTCTCGCGCTTTCGTCCTCCAAGATACAAAAATCCTTCTCTTCGTCCACGAAGTTCTCCTCCAAGTCCATCAATCCGTGTTCGACTTGCTCTTTCTTCGTGACACCGGCTTTCGTTTTAATGTATTCGTCTAAAATGATTGGTTTTTTGGCCATTTCTTTGTAAATAGTGCCGATGATGACGACTTCCTCGCCGAGCGCGGCGGCGGCTTTGTTTTCTTTGTTTTCTTGTTCTTGGAGCAGCGTATCCTCGTCGTCAACGTCCATCATCATCATCGCGGATGATTCTTTCTTCTCTCCTCCTCCTTTTCCATCTTCCTTGTTGTTATCAGTCCCCGCGGCGCCTAATTCAATGACTCTTTTCAAAGGAACGGATGTTCCAAATTTCTCTCGCGCGCTTTGCTTCAATCCTGGGAGTAAAACCATCAATCGTTGGTAATACAACGACGAATACTGTTTTCCCATGTGCTCTTTTTCGAACCGGAATTTACTTTCTTCTTCGTTGGATGATCGAGAAGACGCTTTTCTCTTCTTCATCGCCTCCGATTGGGCGTTGGTGGTAATAGCGCGCATGGTCTTTAACTCGCCGTCATGCAGAGCGACAAGTTTTTGAGACGACGTCATTTATTAGGGCAAGGAAAACGAGTGTTTGTTGTGTGACGGATGAAGAACAGAAGAAGAAGAAGAGAAAATTTTTGAATTTTGGAAAAATCGAAATTGAGACGACATGTATACAAAGAGAAGCGAGCGAGCGCGTGAAATCTTACGCTGCTATTTAATAACTATTTAAACAAAACAATCTCAACTCATTCCGATGATATATAATTACAACGATAACAAAAAGCTAAAGTAATGCGTATTATTGTTTAAAGTGATTTTGATAAAAAATTTCGCGCGTGCGCTATTCCACAGCAGGTTTTATGTATGCGTGCGGATTTGGTTCGAGTTCCCAGGTGGATTTCAAGCAGCCTATAATCTCCGCGATGTACGTCTCTTTGTCGTTTCTCATCCATTGCGAAGGACATCTGGCCAATAAACTCTTCTCCAGTTTGTTGATTTTCGTCTCGCCGTCTTTCCACACTTCATTCATGAGAACGCTTTCGACGTACGCGGCTTCTTCCGCGCCAGGCTTGAAGCGTTCGGTCAAGACTTTCATCTCTCGCATGGCATCTTCGGTGCCAAAATTCTCATGGATTGATGATTCCTGCATTTGAACTTGCGTGGCCGGTAGTTTCTTAGCAGCCTCGGTTTTGTCTCCCTTTTCTTCTTTTTCTTGTTTTTCTTCTCCTTTCTCGACTCGATCGGATAAAGTTTCGTCTTTTTTCTCGTCACCTTCGCCATCCTTCGCCTCTGCGGATGCTCCTGCCGATGCAACCGCCGGAGAAGCCGGCGCCGCCTCTGTTGCAAAAACGCCAGGTTCCTTGTTTTCTTTACTCGCGCTGTTGTTCACGTTGTTAGTCGCCTCATTTGAGGGTGCATCGATGACCATATCGCTACCGCTGCTTCCGTCTATGATCTCTTGTTCCAACTGAAACGGCGTGAAGTTTCGCGGGTTCGTCTCCTTCGGGTCGTCCGAGCAAACGTGAAAGTATCGAATATCGCTTACTGCGGATGGGTTTCTGAGGTCGTATGGACCAACAATAGCACCTACGAACGGACAATTTTTACGCCGCATAAACATCGCGTACTTCTCTTCGCTCATGTTATCGCCGTCGTCGATAACTTCCGCGTCGTTGAACAATTTTTGATAGTTTGATTGATTTTCGATGTCTCTCAAACTCGGTTGATTGGGAAATACCGGGTGCGAATGATACCATCCAACAACTCGCTCTCCGTTTGCATCCAGTTTCTCGACAATATCCGGAACGGACGACGGGTCGAGTTCGACCTCTTGACCGGCGTTTCCATCTTCCTCGGATAAAGGCAACTGCTTGGCCGGTAACGCGCGAGTGATTTTCAACTCTCGTTTCTCCCCGTCCCAGGTGCCGCCGAGGAAACCGATGATTTCGTTCGAACATAAGTGCGAGTGGTAATCCATGACGAGTAGACACGACGGAGAAACGAGCATATCAAACGGCTGTGCACCTTTCGTAGTCACGTTTCGAACTTTCGGTTCGCGATAGTTCTCGCACGAGACCATGTGTAAATCCGTATCTTCCTCGTTCCCATTCCCGTAGTTGTGTCTCGTTTTCTTCCTTTCACGTTGCGGCTTATCTCTCGCTAGACTCGGCCCGTCGAGGTTGGCGTATTTTTGCGCGCGAGCCAATTCCTGCTCTTGTGCCGAACGCTTTTTCTTCTTTGGCGATTTTGGCGGTTTTACCGGCTTTGGTTCTTTCGGTGGTTTCGGTTCTTTCACTTTCTTCGGCGGTTTTGGTTCCGGCGGCGGTTTTGGAGGCAAGATGTTCTCGACGTTTTCTGGATCGATCCTCGCTCGAATTTCTTTTAAACTCACCCATCGCGGTTCTTTCGCGCTTTCTTCTTTTTCAACTTCATCTTTATTGTGCACGTCGTATTTCACGTTTGCCCAGCCGTCTGTGAATTTTATCGCCGGATTGGTGAGTTTCTTCACAAACATCGAGAACGACGCCGCGGACTTGAAATTCTTCGCCTCTGCGTTATTACCATCGTAATTTGCATTCAGTTGAATCGTCCCGTCTTCCAATAAATCCGCGACGAGTTTGTTCTCTTCTTCCCCGTTCAACGGATGCGCGTGTGCTATTCGCTTCTCGCCGAATTTCAAAAGTTTCAACGAAATCAAGAGTTTCAAATCGACGCCATCGTAGACGGACTTTTGCGGCTTCTTTCTGTTTGGATCTTTCGGCGGAGCGGGAGGTTTCCGCTCTTTTACGATCACAGGTTTCGGTTCTTTCTTCGGTTTCGGTTCTTTCGGCGGTGGAGGAGGAGCAGGCGCCACCGCTTTCTTCTTCTTTTTCTTTCTCTTTCTCTTTGCACCTCCTGGTCGGAAGTCACCCTCCGAGTCCGAGGTCCCGTACCCGAATTCTTCTTCTTCTTCTTCTTCTTCGTTATATTGCGCCTGTAAAGCTCTGGCTAAGGCGAGATCCGCGTCTTCTTCTTCTTCTCCTCCACCTTCTCCCATTCGTATTCGATGATGCTTTTATATTATTTAGAAAGAGAGAGAGAGTGTACAGAGGAGGAAGTGCTTCTTTTGAGGCAAATTTGAGAGGCGAAGAGAAAGAGAGAAAGACGTGAGTGACAACAGAGAGAGAGATTTTTGAATTTCACCACAGCTCGATCGATCAAAGGCGAAAAAAAGAGACTCATCCCTCTTCTTCTCTTTTTGGGAAAGCGATCTAACTTTTTTCAAGAATCTTCTCTTCACAACCCCACAACAACGACAGCAGCAGCACACGCGCGCTTTGAACGTTTTGTTTGCCTGGTCTGAAGTCGTTTACGTCGTCTGAATCGTCCGCGCTTTCAGAAGAGAGAGACACAGAGAGAATAAAAACATAATACAAGTGTACATCACACAACAACAACACAAACACAAAAAATTCATCGGAGAAAGCTTTTCAAAATAAAATAGTAGAACAATAATAACAAGAAGAATATGGGACAGAAAGACGAGGACTTCTTCCCGGATGAAGTCGAGGAGCGCTTAATCGCGGAGGAATATAAAATCTGGAAGAAGAACACGCCGTTTTTGTACGACTTAGTCGTGACGCACGCGTTAGAGTGGCCGAGTTTAACCGTCCAATGGCTTCCCGAAAGAGTAGAACATCCAGACTCGGAGTGTTCCACGCAGAAATTGATTTTAGGAACGCACACGTCGGAGAACGAGCAAAACCACTTGATGATCGCGGAGGTGCAGTTGCCATTGGAAGATGCGACGGTAGATGCGACGGAATACGAAAACGCGTCGAAACAGAACAACGAACAAGGCTCGTACGGACAAAACGCAGGGAAAGTGCACGTGGTTCAACTCATGAACCACGACGGCGAAGTGAATAGAGCGAGATATTGCCCACACAATCCGTTTATGATTGCCACGAAAACAGTCTCCGCGGAAGTGTACGTCTTTGATTACTCGAAACACCCGTCGAAACCTCCGGCGGATAGCGCGTGCTCGCCTGACTTACGTTTAACCGGGCACAAGAGCGAAGGGTACGGTTTGTCTTGGTCGCCTTTTAAAAAGTACACTTTGTTGTCCGGGTCCGACGACGCGCAAATTTGCATGTGGGATTTGGAATCTGCCGGAGTGGATGGTCCGTCGAACACCTCAAACAACGCCACGAGCACGAATAGACAATCGCGATCGTTAGAGGCGAACAGAGTGTTCAAAGGGCACGGCGGAGTGATTGAAGACGTCGCGTGGCACGGAAAGCACGAACACATTTTCGGTTCCGTCGGCGATGATAAAAAGATGATTTTGTGGGATACGAGAGCGGCACCGGCGGATGCGGCGACGAATACCGTCGACGCGCACGATGCGGAGGTGAACTGTTTGGCGTTCAACCCGTTCAACGAACACCTGTTAGCGACTGGTTCGGCGGATAAAACTGTGGCTTTATTTGATATTCGTAAATTGACCTCGCGGTTACACACGTTTGAGAATCACACGGAGGAGGTGTTTCAAATTGGATGGTCGCCAAAATCCGAAACAGTTTTGGCGTCGTGCGGCGCGGACCGACGCGTGGCTGTCTGGGATTTGAACATGATTGGCGAGGAACAAACGCCGGAGGATGCGGAGGACGGACCGCCGGAATTGTTGTTCATCCACGGCGGGCACACGCAAAAGATTTCCGATTTTGCTTGGAACCAAAACGACGATTGGGTCATCGCCTCCGTCGCAGAGGACAACATCTTGCAAATCTGGCAAATGTCAGAAAACATCTACGCGGACACGCCCGAAGGCGACGACGACGCTTAAGATAATAAAGCTCCGAGAGTTGTTTTTAACGAGCGAGCTTCTCTAAAATAAATTAACGTACTACTAAATATACATATATACAAACAAACTTTACATCCGCTACCGACCAGGCGGTACTATTTTAACCTATCGATCAATAATGCTACATTTCTCTTCTTCTATCATTGGGCATTGGTACTGGCGCTTTTTTTCCGAGAACCATGCTTTTTACTCTTCTTTTCCGCAACCGGGTGTTTGGCCGAAAAACGAGAAAGTAAGTCGTCAAACGATTCGTTGCTATCGCCTTGCACTTGCTTCAGTGACGATGATTCATCTTCACCTAAGGGGGGTCCTTCCATGTTTTCTTCGGTAGAAGTACCGGCAGAGGTGGATTCTGTGGCGGAATCCTTATCTTTTTCTATTCCTCCTTCGTTAGATTCTACTATTTTCTCTTCAACCGGTCCGATGACGTAACAATTGAGGATTTTCAAGCCGCTCTCGTCCCGAGATGTCAATCGCTTCGTCGATAAGTCATCGAAACCTTTCGGTGGTTCTAATCCCCCATCTCGCGCTTCTTCCGAAACGTAATTGTTTTGACATATGTGGCCAAACATGTACGCGTCAATCATATCCGCCCCGTGTCTCGCCATGTACCTCGTCACTTTCTCGTAAAAGTTTGGCCCAATTAAATAGCTTTGAAATCCCGCAGAGGTGCCCATTTTCGGCCAGTAATAGAACGTTTTCGTTCCAGCTCTGGAGTACTTATCGTTCGGGTCTTTCTCAACCTCGAACTCAAACCTTGATTTCTCGCAGTTGTTCGATGGGAAGAATCCCACCGTGTGTTCGGTTCGCACGCACACTTCGTCGTAATGCGGTCCCAACGAGATGAAATCGAAATCATCCGGAACGTTGCGTAACAACTGACGCATCTCGAGCGTTCTGTCTGGAATTTCGTTTCCATCGGATTCCATAACCCACGCTCTCGTGTGGCCTAACTGTTCGTGGACGTCTCTCCACGCGTGTAAATGAGCGAACAAACACCCCACGTGGTGCGCGATGCCCATTCTATCTTTCGTTAATTTCCCAGTTTTCGGGTTCCGCTCATCGATTAATCCAATCCATGGCATGTTTGCTAAACTATCTGGCGTCCTTTCTAATTCTTTCATAAACTTTGAACTGTAGTGATACTTCTTCGTATCGAAAAACTCTTTATTCAATTCTCGAATCGGCGCCACGGCCCACTCTGCCTCTTTGATATTCTTCGGCCACTCCGCCGCGGTAATCCCTAACGTCGTTTGTGCGGCTGGAAATTTGTTTCGAATACGTTCAAAGCCTTCTTTATCTCTCGTGTTTTCCGGTTGCACGATGACAAAAATCTCTATGTGATCCGTTTTGTCTGTTTTCTTCGTCATCGCGCTTCTCCCACCACTAAAGGCAGCGGCGTGAATGAAATTCAGAGAGAACACGTTTTGAAAGAACGAGGACGTTTTCGCCCTCATGGAGTGAATGTGAGACATACTCGAGTCTATTTTCTCCCTTCCAAACGTCCTCACGGAATCTCGGTAGTTCTCAGGCGTCACGTATATGCAAAAACACGCGAGAACGAGCGCGGAGAGAAGGAGGAGAAATCGCTTCTCGTTTCGCTCTTTCCTTTCAGCTTCGGTCATTAAAATTGGTGGTGGTTTCCTCAGTAACGTTTCTTTTTCGTCGCGTCGTCGAAGTTGTTGTTGTTGTCGAGACATCGATGCTGATACGGAGGAGGAGGAAGCGGAGGAGGAGGCCATCGCGCTCGATATTGGTCGCGACATTTTTTGTAGAGAGATGAGAGTTGATTTTTTTTACAAACACGCGCCCCAAAACAAAACAGGAAAACAAAAAGTTCATTTTTCGTCTCTTCTTCTTCTGAATTCTTCTTTTTCGTTCACTTTTTTTTGCTCAAACAACGAACTCTCTCGTAAAAAAAGAAAAGAATAATGATCGTCTCCGGTCGCACGATTGCACCCGAACCCGTCCAGGACATCCTCATGAGTCTAGAAATGACGAACGAGACGAAGAAGAGATTGGATAGCTTGCAAGGATGGGCGAAAGATTTAAAGGTATTATTATTTAGATGAGAATCATTATTCAGAATCTTCTTAAAAAGAATTCAAAGTCACAGTTCTTCTTCATCTTGACTTCTTCTCTGTTTAAGTTCGCATTCGCGTCGTTCCTTCGCGATGATATATTCATACGCAAGTTTATATGTACTGACTTTTGCTCATGTATTTGAACGCGAACTCATCCATCTCTCGTGTGATTAAAAACAAACAGGACGCACCTCCGCTTTCGGAAACGCCTGAATTCGAGTACGTACAAAAACTTCCCAAGAGTTTGACGCAACAACCGAGTTCGGTTTTATTGGACGCCTCGCAACCACACGCGATGTCATCCCCATCTAAGAAGAAGGAGAAGAACGCGACGACGACGAAAAAGTTCGGGGACGACTTTTCGCAGGAGCAAGAAGAAGAAGAAGAGTTGGACGGCGACTATGTCAGTCCAGAACAGAGGGAAAAAGAAGAAGAAGAGCGCGAACGTAAAGAGGCGGCGATGAATCATAACGGAGACGTTCGCATGGAATTGAAACCAAGAACGGGCACGGAATGGCTGCAAGGACAGAAAAAACGCGTTCGAGTGGAGTTCGAGGAAGAGTCGTCCTCGTCTGAAGAAGAAACGGAGGCAGACGAGGAAATTATTCCCACGCAGCGACCTTCGCCGAATGATAGCGAAGACGACGACGACGCACATCTAGATGATGCCAGAGGAAATGACGTCGGGATAATGAAACGAACTTTGAATGCAGCGGTAGGTATGATTGAAACGGTAGTAAACATTGTTCGCTCGCCGTTCAAGTCGCCGAACAAACGCGCTCGAATCGAGAACAGCGATACGCCGCCGCCGTCGCCTGGGATCTTTGGATTTGGTGGGTCGCCATTTGCCAAAGGCATTGCAATGTCGCCGAAATCTTTAGCTCAAGTCATCGATGCCACGGGAGCTGCGGCTGGCGAGAACAATGCCAACGTTGCAAAGATGGAATGGGGCGCCAGAGGCGGCGAAACGTGGCAACAAAAGGAAGAGGACGAAGGCGAAGCGAGAAGGAAAAGAGCCGCGAGGAAAAAGTTAGTATTAGACGATGACGATGAGAACGACGAAGAAGAGGAACATGAGACGGTGAAAAAGTCGCCAAAGAAGGCGACAGGAAAACCGGCGACATCCGTGATGTCCGAAATCGCGAGTCAAGTCACCGAAGTCGCCTCCGAGGCGAATTGGGAAATATTAGCAAAACTCATGGCTGAACGCGAGAAACAGAAAAAAGCACCTCGTGAGCTCGGTTTGAACGTAGATAGAACGCGCAGAATGTCTAGGCGCATGTAAGATTATGCAACAAACATACACACTGTTTTAGTATCACACTTTGTACAGAAGAATCAACCTTTTCCCCGCTTCTTCTTATTTGTCTTTTTCACATATGCGCTGTGAATACCGTGACGTCTTTCCCATTGCTCCGGAGCGTTGTTATACGCATCAACTTCTCTACCGCGCAACGTTACGCAAAACAAATTCGATTCGTCGGTGTTGCAGACAATCTTACACCTCGGATCGTACTCGGCTTCGTCTGGTGATTTGTAGTTTATCAAAATTTCGTGCGCTTTTTTATCGAGCGCTTTCAATTTATTCTCCTTTACAAACTCGCTCAAAACTCTCGATTCGTCGTTCATGTTGTGACACGTTTCGTTTTTCAGTTTCCTCTCCCAATAATGATCGTGCGAGCCGCTGTAAAAATCAAAACCGCAAAACTGCACCGGCTGTTTGAACTTTCGCCACGCGTAGTTGAGAAACATGAGTCCCATGGATGGAAACTTTTCGTTCAAGTTATACTCTTCGTACAGAGTATCCACTTGTGGTGCCTCTACCGCGTGTACTTTTACATCACGCATATCATTCTTCTTTAACCAGTTCGTCGCTATCGTTTCCAACTCGTGCATGCGTTGCTTCTGTTTGGGAATTTTATCTTTTCGTCTCGGGCAGCGCACTTGTTGCGGCTTGCAGTCTCGAAAAACAAACGGAATGTACACGTGCTGCAGCGATTTCTTCAAGTTTGGAATCTCCTCTTCGTCGAATTGGTTCGGATCTTTGATCGTCGATAACACCCAGTGCGTCGTTTTCGAGCCGACGTCTGATTCGAACCCGACGGTTTTGAAAAGATTGAAACGCAACACGACGTCGTTCGCATCTACTTGTCGTCCGAACCGAGAGTTTCTCAAGCTCGCGCCGTTCCCCACGGCGATGGCAGATAACTGTGTGTTGCTGTTGGAGCTGTCGACGTCGTTATCGTTACCATTACCGTCGTTATTACTATTATCGCCACTAATACTGCTGCTACTGAATCTATTACTATCTTCTCGTTCTACTTCTCGTTCTACTGCGCTGCCTTCCTCGTCGTCACCACCGTCATCACCGTCGTCGTCGATAGATATCTCTTCTCCCTTCGCCAACAACGAGGACGAATGCACGGTCACGGACTCGTCTCCGCCCGTGAAAGAATTTTCAACCAACGCGTTCCGTGGGCCGTTCCCATTCATCTTCGTCTTCATTATGCTCTCGTAGTTCCCAGTTAAAACGAAGACGATGATTACGACGAAAACAAAGATCGCGTAATGTGATGACAAAACTCCATTTACTCCTCCTCCGACAGAAGTGTTGTGCGCCTTTCTCCCGCCATAACCACCACCACCAGAGAGCATCATCTCTGTGATGACGTTTAAGTGCTTTCGTTTCGTTTCTCTTCTTCTCTCACGGAAGAAGAAGAAGAAGAAGAAGAAGAAACAGAATGGTGTTGTACTCGTATTTAATTTATTTATAACAAACAGAGTTGGCCGTCGACCAAAATTCCATTTGGAATTAAAAAAACAAAGAAAGAAAGAAAGGAAAGAAGAGAGAGAGACCAAAGCAAAAAAAACCTCAAAAACAGGTTCACGCAAAAAAATGAATTTCATCGATAAAAACAAAAAACCGGCGAATACGGGCGGGATCGATGAGACCGTCAAGTTAGCCGCGGGGAAACTGGACGGGTTAGCAGGCATGCACGAATATGGGGATCGACAAAAGGATTACACCTGGGATTGCGTGATTTTTGGCGATGGTTCATAGTGCGTTTTTGTTTCTCATCTCTTCTAGAATTGTGTTTTTTCTTCCTCAAATCGCTTATCCCTTCTTTTAAAGTTTGTTTGTTTTGAGGAAGTTTTGAGGGTGACGGCGGAACGTCTTCTCCTTCTCTCTTCTCTCTTTTTCTCACTCTCTTCGGCGTAATGAATCGACGATGGAACCAAATAAATGCAAAACTGTCATCAAATCGTAGCATTTAAAAGCTGTCGGGTGGTGATGGTATGATGAAGGAAGTGCAAAGCCATCAAAGAAAAGAGATAAAAAGAGAGAGAGAGAAGACCTCTTTTTTCCCACGAACAAAGGAAACAACAAACAAACAAAAACGAAATAAAATTAGAAATCCTCAAAAATACTGACCCGTTGATTTCTCCTTTTTCGTCTCATTCGATAATCGTTACTACGACAGTTACGAAGGCTTAGTTGATATTTACGGTCAGTGCGAACACTTAGGCGTGATGAGCTTCGAGGACGGGGATAGATACGAAGGCGGTTTCAACCAAGGCGCAATGTCTGGACCGGGTATATATCACGGCGACAGCTTCATTTTTTTGGGCGAATTTGAAGGAAATCAAAAGTCTGGGTGCGGTGTAGCGGCGTATATGAACGGTGCAGTTGAATACGGCGAGTGGAAATACGATCAGTATTTAGGTCAATACACGCGCAAGTGTCCTCTCGACAAATCGATCGCGTCGATGGAAACCGCCATCGACAGCGCGGCGAGAGCGAAAATGTTTGAAAGGAAACCAAATTCAGAAGTATACTTGAGAATAGTTGAACATTATCCAGATTATTTGATGCATCACGATCCGATCGTGTATAAAAAAGGCACGGAGTGGACGATGCCTGGTCCAGCTGCTGAGTTGTACACGCCGCCGACAGTGGAAGAAATGGGACCGGAAATTGCCGGTGCGGTGAGCACGATGAACCGTCTCTGGGAACGAATTTGGTCGTATTACAACGTCAAGTGCTCCGAAGAGCGAAGAACTGTAGCTCCGGAGATTCGAAAAAAGAAGGAAGCTATGGCTTTATCCGAAATGCGAACCGAGGAAGACATGGAGGATGAATACGCGGACGTGTACAACGAGGACGGCTCGAGAAGAGGTAAAATGAAAAAACCGAAGCAACAAAAGAAAAATCAAAAAGCAGGTAGAAAAGGTGGTAAGACGGCGTCGTTGACGGTGTCAATGATGAGTGCGTTGCAGCAAAACGCGTTTAGAGGTTTGAGAAGGCAATTACGACGCCCGATAGCTTTTGCTCAACGAGTCACGACGGAGGCGCAAGCCGCGGTGAATCGAGCGATGCCAGCGCTCGAGCGACGATAAAAATTGTTCTTCGTTGACCAAACAAAATATCATCCAATCATCATCCTTTAATTAGTCTCAATACTTTGTTATTAATATATATTTCAAAGAATTCGGTGGCATACATTCTACTTTTTAGTTTCTTTACAAAGCTGCTTGTTACTACACGCTACGTTACATTCTTCTACAGTCTAATTTCATATTTTTTTTACAAAGTACCTTCGAGCGCGGCTAAAGTATTGAACGCGCGAATTCTATTTACTTCCATCATAGTATGCGACTTTGAACGGAGGTCCGACACGTTTAAAACCGCTTTCCGTATTCTTTTGAGAACGCCTGAAGAATCTAGTCTCCACATAGTTTTGTCGGAAGAATCGGAAGAAGAAGATGTGGACGATGAAGCGACGATCTCTCGATACCCTCCTCTCGATTTGACGTAATCGCTCAACTCTTTCGTCGTGAGATCCTGCACGTACAAAACGACGTGGAAGCACGAAAACAAGGACATGCACGAGCCATGAACGCATATAAACATCATGAAAAGCGTCGCGAGGACCCCAGTATTACTATTCAGGGAAGGATGATAATCAAACGGGAATCCGAGAAGATGTAAGCGTTCGTACGCCTTCCAAAAGAACGTCACGGCTAAATACGCCTCCGTTACTATGAATACGACGAAAAACAACACGTTTTTCTCGCCGATGCAATTGTTTAGAGCGCCGCAGTGGTGGTCAAATCCGCGAACGCAAACGTTACACTGTCGACAGTGCGAACTTCTCTTCGGTTTGAATATCTTGCACGTTTCGCAATATCTCGTATTCCTGCTACTGCGTTCTTCTCTTGCGTCTCCTTCTCCTTCGTCTTCGTCTTCTTCTTTCTCTGCATCAACTTCTCCTTTTCCTTCTTCTATTCCACTCGCTCGCGCGGAAGTATTCCTCTTCGGCAACACGATACCAGGATCAATCACAGTCGTCATTGCACAGGTTGATAAACACACGCACGCGACGAAAACGTGAAAAGTCGTTGAACTTTTCACCAAATCCAAAACCACCAACCCAAGAAACGCGCACAAGGAACACGTGGAAAAGACGCACACGGGCGCCAATGGATGAGAAGAAGAAGAATTGAAAGAAGAAGAAGGACGATGTCTCGCACCACCGCTGATCTCGCCGACAACCGCGCTGTTCATCGATCGCGTGACTCCTTTTTTTAATACTTTTTATTACGTAGTATTATTATTAGTGTTGCTTTCGATAAAGTGGTGAAAATGAGTTTAAATACAAAAAAGAGGAGAGTTTAACAAAAAAGCCTCTCTCCACACTTTTCTTTAAAGAAAAAAAGGAATATTTCTAGCCGACAAAAAACCACGATGACGACGACGACGACGGCGACCGAAAACGGCAACAACAGAGAACGAAAGAACGCGCAGGACATTCATCCCACGAAGGTCTCCGCGATGGGGGTGGACGCTGCACCTGCACCTGCAAAAGGAAAAGGAAAAGGAGATGATGCACAAGAAGACGAAAAGAAGAAGAAGAAGAAAACAACACAACAACAACAACAAGGGAATAAAATATATTTTGGGTTTCTGAAAGAACAACACTTGGCGTTAATCATCGTTCTCGTCACTCTCGTGCGATTGTTCATTCGCTATAAGTTTCGTCCGAAGACGTTCATCACGTGCACGGAAGACCAACCTTTGATGGAGGTGAAAGAGAACTTTCTCAATTTTCTCGAATACGAAAAAATTCGAAAATGTACTTTGAATCATCCTCGATTGAAAATACCGTCCGCTTTAAGCAGTGGCTCGTTTTCCAAAACTCGCGGGTTTGTCGTCAAATTCAACAAGGAAGGCGTAGATTCGTTTTTGAATCATCCAGATTACGGAGACTGCTATGGGGACTTGTTTGAGAAAATGCGGCTTCCAGAAACTAACGCGTACGTCTTCAACGCTTTATTGTGCGAGTTATCGGACTATGACGATTGGAAGAACAACCAAACGAGCGTTGGATTACACTTAGATCAGACGGTTGGTTTACAAGGACTAAAAGCCGATCATCAATTCTTGGCGCACCAGGTGAATGTGCTTTATGTGGACGTCGCCGCGGATATGAAAGGCGGCGAGTTAGAAGGATGGAGATACGGGTCAGGTGACTTGAAACAGTCTGATTTATTAAAGCCCCACTTATCAATCAAACCTGAGAAGAATAAACTCGTCATGTTTCGAGGAGATTCCTTTCATCAAGTCAAGGCATACCACACTTCAGAATCGACGACAAAACGCTTGTCTTTAGTTCTAGAGCAATATAAAATCAGCGACGAGTTTGTTCCAAACACCGTCGTTTGGATGGAGGCGCTGAAACAAAACATGACGATGATGTAACGTTTAGTATTATGTAGCGAAAGATGGGTAATTAGACGTAAGAGTAGATGAGAGAAAAATTAGTACACGTATATGAAAAGTGATTTTTATTTAACCCGCTCTCGCTTTCGTGGCATCCATTTCGGCTTTCAATCGAGACGCTTCTTCCTTCGCGTCCGCGATATCAGCCGCATCAGCCAATTCATCCAAGCTCTTCCCGAGAAGTTCGCTCATACCCTTATCAATGGCGTCTTCGAATTGAGCATATTGTGGATCGCTCGAGGTGAGCGCCTTGCCTATTTTCTTCTCCACGTCGTCCAACGTTTGGAAGAGCGTCTTGTACACCCCGGTGGGATCTTCCAAACCCATCGCTTGTCGAACTTCGTTCGTGTATTCCAAATATTGTCTCACCGAAGTCGCTTCCTCCCAAGCCGCATCGATCGTATCGTCGATGCGCTCAGTCACAGACGGAATACCAATCTGTTTTATAATTTACGAAGGGGAAAGAAGAGAAAGAGAGAGAGAGAGAGTCAGCGTGCGTTCATTCATTCAAAACTTTTGGGTGAGGAGGAGGAAAAGAGCGAAGAAGATGATGAGGAAAGAAAGAAAAATTCTTCTTCTTCTTCTTCTTCTTCCTCCTATGATGAAGATGATGATGCGATATAAAGAAAAACGCTCACCTCTGCCATGATCTGTTTGTTCTTCTCGACGTACGCTTTCAATTTAGCGTCGTCGCCGTCTAAAGGTAATGGATTCGTCTTTGACTTTTCTGCGTACGCGCGAAATTTTCTTTGCGAATCGGCGAAGAAATCCTTCACCAAATCGCCCTTGTCTCCTTGCGCGGCGGCAGCGGCGAAACAACGCGGTGAAGCAGAGGAGGAAGACGCGGACGCGGCGGTGCGACGAGCGATGCGAGAAGCGACCGTTCGTAACATACTTATTAGTAGTATTACGTGTGTATAAGGATGTTCTCTTTAACTTTTACACGTGTGAGTGAGGAGAGAGAAAGAGATCTTATTCGTTTCAACTCTTTCTTGCTTGAGTGGAACCCCAACAAAAAACAAAAAACAAACAAATCCCAAATTCAAAGAGAGACAAAAGGAGAAGTCGCAGACAAATTTCTTCTTTATGATGTTTTACACGCGAGCGCTAGTATAAGTTGTGCTATAAAATTGACTTCTTCCCTAGATTAGATCAGGTTAAATCTGGAAACCGCCTGTAGAAGTTAGCTTTCGGACGAACGACGTTTTTCCTCTTTTTCTCCGCCGTATAGATGAGCGATCCGTCGCGATGGTTTACGGCGATTTCCACCGCCTCGTCCGTCGTCATGACATCATTATCCATGCCCTCTTTCTTCTTCATCAATACTTCGTCGTCGTCGTCGTCGTCGTCGTCGTCGTCGTATTCTTGCTCGTGATCTCGCTCGATACCGTGGTCAGAAGGAGAATCCAACCACATATTGTCCATCGAAGTATCCGTCACGGGAGCATATAACTTGGGTACCTGTTTCCTCGCTTTCTTCCTCAACGGAGATTCACCAACCAACATAATATTTCTCGTCCCCTTATCAGTAGAGGATTTTTGCGCAAAATTCGATAACTTTGCGCTCGTAGTGACTGTGATTGTTCTGGATTTTCTCGTTTGAACATCGTTCATTCGATTCGAGTCCGCCTTGGGCAAACCCAACAAATCGTTCCTCCCAGTCATCGAGAAGAACTTTTCGCGGAGCGTGCCAAGGAACTGGAGTCTTCCGTGCTTATCTTTGTATTTCACGCCACCGGGATGAGTCCACGGGTTTGAAAATTTCATTTCTGGACTTGCCAAACGCTTCACGGCCAAGCTAAAAGATGCCGGTTCGTTATAACTCTTACCTTGGAAAGCAATTTGTCGATTCTTCGTGATGTTAGCTTTGTACTCTTTACCGCGATACTCCATCGAGAGTACGTTCAATCCTGCGGTAATCAGTCCTGCATCCATTAGTTCCGCGAGAGTGACTCTGCGAATATACTGCGGTTTGTTGTGTGTTCCATGAGACGAGCGAACTCTATGAATTGTAACCGGTCCCTTCTTCTTTTCTTCCGCACGCGTCGGTGGCGGAGGTCTGTCGTTGGCGAAATTATTTTGCTTTGGAAGCGAACCGAGGCGTATAAATCTAGGATTTTTCGAAAACGCATCGATATGAGCCTCCACGACTTCGAGATATTCCATAGAAAGCTTTGGCTTTCTCTCAGGATTGAACAACTCTTCGTACGTATATACTTTGAACTTCTTCTTATCACCGCGTCCCCACCATTCTTCGCTGTACCAATCTTTCAGCCACTGCGGCTTGCTTTTTTTCTTGTTTGATTTTGCAGTCGGCTGTCGTGGCAGGGGCAGGGGTGTGCTCTCTTTCCCTTTTAATACCGCTAACTTGCTCAGAGGCACGTGGTCTTCCGTCTCCTCCGTCTCCTCCTCCTCCTCTTCTTCTTCCTCCTCGCCTTCCATGTTCTCGTCGTCGTATCTCTCCTTTCTTTCATTCTCGTGTTTATCTGAAAGAAGCGGTGAGTGCGGTCGCTTCGATGTTGCCCGAGTCGTCCGCGCCTTTGCCTCGGCTTGCTTCTTCTCTTTTGCCAACTTTTTCTTTTCGGCAATCTCTCGTTTCTCATCGTTGGAACACTTCACGCACAGCACTTCGCCAGGATATTTCTTGCTACTTTGCCAGTTATCCTTCTTTTCAGGATCTGCTTCTAAGGCTAAACAATTGGCGTTGTAGCAATTGTAAATCTCCATCATCTCCTCGTGCAGCTTTGACTTGGGCAGTTCTTCTTCTCCTTCTTCTTCTTCTTCTTCTTCTTCTAATACTATTGTTTCGTTGTCGTCCTTCTTGTTTGTCCCTGATGGAGACGAAGACGAGGGCGTTTTTTCTTTCTTATTCATCGGGACAATGAGAGGAGACTTCGACGTCTTACCTCCTGCGTCGTTGTTGTTGCTGTTGTTGTTGTTGTTGTTATTATTAGTATTATTGTTGTTGTTGTTGTTGTTGTTGTTACTGTTGTTGAGTATTATAGACGAGGACATCATCGACTCTCTTTAATACGACGGGTGTGTTCTTGTCGTTCTTGTCTCTCCCTCGTCGGGTCTCCCGAGAGAAGAAAGATTTTTCTTTTACTCCTTTCTCGTCTCCTCTCTATTACACACACACACACACACACACACACACACACACGCGCACTCTCGACGACGCGGAGATAAAGATAGACAGTCGTCAAAGTGTTCCTTCTCCCTCGTAGTGTTCTCGTGTTTTTGCGCGCAACGAGAAAAAAAGTGGAGTTTTGCTGTCACGTGTTCGTACAAAGTCGTGTCAAACTAAAAACAGAAGAATCTTCCACGGCGTGTGTCAATGTGTACAAATTACTGCGTCGTGAATTAAAAGAATGCTGCTACTCGTTACTAAAGATGATAATGGTAATTAATGCGCGTGTGTGTATATTCTTCTGCTATTTCTGCGCTCTTTCTTCCTCTCTCCTTCGCTCCGCTTTTCCCTTTTTGATGCATTTTGATGAGATACGAGTACTCGTATTTTCTTCTTCTTCTTCTTCTTCTTCGAATTTACACTCTCACCCAACACCTGTTGCAATCGCCAACGCACGTTCCTTCACAATCGATCGTGTTACCTAACGCCTGTGGGACGCGAATGACGTACTTTGCGAACGCCGGCGTTCCTCGCTTCATGAAGAAATTTTTCTCGATGTGCTCCACCGCCGGTTTCATCACGCCGTCTATGTCCATCGCTAATATTTCCGGAAGTTTACCGACAATGACGTCTATTTTATCCCTAGCTACGCCGAGCGATTCGATGAACTGAATTCGCTTTTCGATTTCGTCCATGTCTGGTATTTCTCTCACTTTCTCGTTTCTCCAGTAATCTTGTTTGCCCCAGCCGAAACCTTTTTGCATGACTTTGTCCGCCTCGTCGTCATCGAATCCGAGCTCCATGACGAGCGCTTTGGCAGATGCCCATTTAATGGACTCATCGTCGGTTAACAAATCACACATCATAGACTTTGTAGATGTGGATGGTGAAGAGGAAGAAGCCGTGGATGAGACGTATCTTCGTTCGAACGCAGACGCCGACGTCGTGACGAATTGATTATTATTTTGATGACGTTTGCTTTTTGTTGAAAAAAGACGATGCTTTTTGCCTTGTTGCCTTCGCGAAGAAGAAGACAATAACAACGCAGAAGAGTTATGCGGTTGTTGGTGGCGGTGTTGCAGCAACGTTTTCGAGGTAGTAGTAGTAGTCGTCGTCATCGTCGCGAGCATAGTAGTAGTATATGATGTGTTTATTTGTTGAGAAAAAATTGGTGATGTTTACTACGAGTATGACGATGTGACGTGTGGTTTCGAACAGAACCACACAAAAAAAAACAAAATGGTAACGAACTTTTTGTCGTCACCAACACTCTCATCATCTTTCGGGCGGCGAGTTCTTCCGTCTTCACGACGAGTCCATATCACCAAAACGCGACGACGACGTCGAAAGGTATCACTGAATAATAATGAGACGTTGTTAGAAGGAGGATGTTGTGAAAAAGAAAAAGCAGTGTTAGGAGTAGGTAGTTGTGGGTTAGACATTCTCGCGCGACTCGAAAAGTTTCCTCAACCAGATGAGAAGACGCGAAGCGAGACGCTCGTCATGGAAGTCGGCGGTAACTGTGCGAACGCGTTAACGGCAGTGTCTCGACTCTCGGAAGCCTCCTCGTCGTCAATCTTATTTACGAAAATCGGTGACGACGCGACTGGGAAAGATATAATTTCAATTTTAGAGAGAGAAGGTGACACGTTCGATACGAGTAAAGTCGTGCACGGCGGAACATCGCCATCGACGTATATCATTTGTGTCAAAGATAAAGCGAACGATGACCCGACGCGCACGTGCATACACACCCCAAGCAACGAACCTTTGATGAATTCTGAAGTAACGGATGCGGATATCGACTCTTTGTTCGCGTCGTCGCCGCGCGAGATTGGCTTGGCATACTTTGACGGAAGGTTAACGGACGTCGCCCTCCGAATCGCTATAAAAGCACGCTCTCTTGGGATTAAAATACTCGTCGAAGCTGAGAGACTTCGCGGCGACGATTTAGATGCGTTGTTGAAACTTGCTGACTTTTGCGTGTGTTCAAAAAGTTATCCGCAAGAAAAACACCCCAACGATACGAATTCGTTCGGAACCGCGTTGACGGAGATGGCAAATTCGACACTTTCAGACCGGTGTAAACTTTTAATTGCGACGCTTGGTTCCAGAGGTTCTGTCGCTTTGCTTTTTGATGATGCGAGTGTTGATACCGACACCGGCGCAACTGTGCTTGTTCGTAGCGTGGACGAGATTATCGAAGAGATGGAAAGAGCGTTCCAATCGAGAAAGCAAAGTGAGGAATCTGGTACACCATATTCATCATCATCATCATCATCATCATCATCATTATTATCATCATCATATCGATATATACCCGAACACGCGCTCATTAGTGACAGAGTCTACAATTTGAACGGTTCAGGTAAACGCGCTAAAGTCGTTTTTCAGCCGGCTGCACGTATCAGTAGCGAGGACATGGTGGATACGACTGGCGCGGGAGATGCGTTCATCGGCACGGTGGCGAAAGGTTTATCGTGTGGTGCAGACATTCTGAAAACGTTACGCTTGGCGACTTTTGTCGCTGCACAAAAGTGTTTACAAGTTGGTGCTCGCGCAGGGCTACCGTTCCGAGAGGAAGTGCCGGAAGAGTTGATGTACCCATTCGCAGCATCATCCGGCGAGCTCCCCACCGCTACATCGCGAAAAGGCAGAAGAAGTGCGATGACGACGGGAGCCATATCTGCGTTCCTTCTCGCGTTCTCTTTCTCTGCACCAAATGAAACTTTCGCTGCGATTAATGGCAGCTCTGTAGATATGAATAAACTTTCGCAATTGTTTAATCAGGCTATGAATGCAAGTTCGTATGAGGACGCAGAAAATGCGTGGTCTAAAGCTATCGAGTTAGCGCCGAACAACTCGGCTGCGTTGTCCAATCGAGGAACACTTCGCTTGCAAGCTGGTCAATGGAGCGATGCGATTGAAGACTTACAGAGGTCGATTGAAATAGACGTCAAGGAAGGCAAAACTGCCGATGCTTCGGTATTGAATAACCTCGGAAACGCCAAAGGGGCGGTTGGAGATTGGGAGTCAGCCATGGACGATTTCCTCAAAGCGTCGAAGGACGATTCCATGAGAGAAATAGCCTTGGCAAACTATGCCTTGGCGGCTTTTGAGACGGGCATGGACGAGTTAGCCGTGAAAACCGCTCAAACGATACTTCGAAAGGACCCGGAGTTTTGGGATATGCGCGCAGCTTTAACCGCTTTCCATTGGGGCGCCGGGGATCTGGATAAAGCAGAATATGAGTGGCAAACTTTATGCACCTCAGGCCGAGGCTTCGGTCAAAGCGAATCGGCTGAAGGCGTACGAAGTTTTGGTGATGTCGCGTACGCGAGTAAACTTTTGGAACAGCAACTGAAGCAACAATTAGATATCGCCGCTGGAGTAACGGAAGATGAGCTGGGTAACGATACGCCGTGCCAACTGTACAAAACTACAGATACAGTCGCAGGAAGATGGCCACCGAGGCCCACAGCTGCCCTCGACGCATATTTGAGAGTAAAAGATGTCGGACAGGCGCTCGATTACGATGGTATCGTCAAAGAATATAAATTCAAATAGATACGCGTGTCGCAATGCGCGATTGGCGCAAAGAATATTTTGTTTCGCGCATTCGCGGAAAAATATTTGCGCGTGCGCATTGAAGTACGCGAGATTATATAATGTAGCCACATCTATATAGATTATTATAGTTCTCTAACAATTACATGTATTTAGTCTATCTTTATAGTATCTATCGTCAATAATTCATCTCCGTTATGAAGGACTTCGTCTCCACTCGCCCACAGATCTTCGATATCATAATATCTGCGCGCTCGATCGCTGAGAACGTGAACGACACAGCTCCCGCAATCGACGGCGTTCCATTCCTCGTCGCCACCACCACTCATATCTGCTTTCGCACCCTCGATGTACGGTTTAACTTTGCTGGTAAACGTAGTTGGATTTTTTGCGACGCGTTTTTTATATTCAAACATCACCGCATGCGATAAATCAGATATGTGTCTAGGGGATTTCCCTGTACACAATATCAACCAATCCGCCCAGGAGCACTTATCGCGAATCCGAATGGCCATAACATCTTTCCCGCGTGCCTTTACTAATATTTCAACTATTTCATCCGGCGTGAACAAATCTGGGTAGTCCATGCGATCAGTCGCATCGCTTACGTGTTTGACATCTGCCTCTTGAGAAGAAGAAGAAGAAGAAGGAGAAGAAGAAGAAGAAGGAGAAGAAGAAGAGGGAGTTGACGCTTTACCTGTCAGTCTGTCTACATACTCCTTCGCTCTGTGTTGCGATCCAATTGCCCAGCCACCCGTGCGAATACGATTTACCTCTACATCGCCGGTTTCATTATCTTCGCTTAAAATATCGGCGAGAAGCTTTGCGTCGTTCGTGCCTCGCACGACTTTTAAAGCTGCTAGGTATTGGCTCCAAATTAAAGCGGCCAATTCTCCTTTTGTAGTCGCGAGATCCTTCCCTTTCACCGCTGGTTTCCTCCAATGCTCCGTCAACCAGTACAAAAAGTTGAGTCGCTTCTGCCCGATTCGAAAAGCATCGACGCTTCTTTTCGGTTGTTTTGGTGAAGGTCGAATCCAGATTTCCATTTCTTCCGCAACGTTTTCGAGAAGCTCTCGAGGGACCAAAAGTAGCAGCGACTTTGTGAGTTGCCTCCTGGTCGATTCGGACCTTGAACCACCTGGGTAGTGTTCTCTCGCTTCAAGTAAAAGCGCCTCAAATAAGTGCGCGTACGGCATAGACGCAGGAAAGAGCGCGTTCCTCTTTTCAGTCTGAACTTTTCCTTCCATCTCCCGTGTCGCCTTTTCGCTCTTCTTTGTTGCTTCCGTTTTCTTTGCTCTCGTCTTTGTCGACCCTGTGACTTCAACTTCCCCCTCTTCACCGACTTGATCAAACTCTCTGAGCACGAAATCTTCGTCGTCGGTTGGCACCTTTTTCAAAACCGATAAAAATTTATCCGCTTCAGCTTTTTCTTCTTCCGTCGGCGGGGATAGGTTCAACACGCTTCCGAGTTCTGGGTTGAGTTGAGCGAGCGCGTGCATCGGTATAGGCCAAACCAATTTACTCGTCACTTTCACTCCAGCGTATTCCGTCGCGTTCCCTCTGTACACTTTATCACCCCAATCCAAGTTCAAATCTACCACCCTCGCACGCTTCTGCTGCTCTATTTCGTACTTTGTTTTCGTCTTTGTCGTTGCTTTTGTTTTCCTCCGTTGGAACTCTTTCTTCTTTTTTGTATTATTATTATTATTCGTTGGTGGTGGTGGTGGTGGTTTTTCTTCCATTTCTTCTTGTATGGATGATATAGTTGATGATGATGATGCCGAGGACGAATAATAATAACTCGCGTGACAGAATAGACTACTCGTCGTCGTCGCGTTTTGACTACTCCTTCTTTTTCTGAGAAGAAGATGATCAAAATTGGTGGATGTGATGGATTTGGTGGTGCTCGTGGTGAAGAATAAACGCGCGCATCTTCGTCGCATCCAAAACATCTCTTTTTGCGCAAACAAAGACGACGGATGTGAAAGAAGAGAGAGTTTTTAATGAAGTCACACCATTTGATTTTTTGGAAAGAGGAGAGATTTTTTAACATTTCTTCTTCTTCTTCTCCTTTTGACTCTCTTCCAACATCGCTCATTTTGGGCGTCGGTGTCTCATCGACTGTAGTGTTAGTATCAAAAAAGTTGAGGAGATTGATACGTCAATATCATCATCATGGCGAAGTCATCACCCTCACTTTTCGTCGCCCTTGGAAGTCGATGGGGAAAACCCGTCGAAGAAGTAGACAAAAAAGATTCGTCGTCGGCGTATTCGCCGCCGATCGAAGAAAAAGAAAACGGTGATGAAAACAACAAGAATGATGATGATGATGTGACTCCTGCGAAGAAGACAACGACGACCGAGGAAGACGCGAACGACAACAACAATAACACAAAAACAACAACAACAGCAAGTTCGGAGAAGAAGCGGGGAAAGCGTAAAAGTCGATGGGAAACCGCAAACGAGGAGGAAGAGAAGGCGACGAGAGGAGAAGCGACTGCAAACGAAGCAACACCTAATGACACGAATTACGTCGCAGTGAAACGCAACGCACCGTTGCCAGGAACGATCGTTATATCCGGAGGCTTACGCGTTCAGATTCCCGCCGCTCTGTTGGGTGTACGTTCCATGCCGAAAAATGCTCGAGTAGATCCAGAGTTGGAAGTCATGTTCAAAGACTTAGAAACTTGCAACCGAAACTGCTTGATTGGCGCACCGTTCTCCGAGAAGGAATTTCTCGATAAACGGGACGTGTTGAAAACGAAAAACAGCAAACACTTTCCGAAAGAAGTGGAAGAGAACATGACGAAACCGAAAGACGACGCACCGCCGGTTTATGACTTGCATGGTCACAGAGTGAGTTCGAAATCTGAAGTGAATCGAGACAAATACGAAGAAAAGCGTGGACGCTTAATCGAAGAAATCGCTCGCAGGTGCCCTCAGTTCACACCACCAGCGGATTATCTTCCCTCCAGAAAACGAAGAAAGATTTACATCCCAGTTGAAGAACACCCCGGATATAACTTTTTCGGGTTGATTATTGGTCCACGCGGGAACACTCAGAAAAAAATGCAAATGGAAACCAATACGAAAATCGTGGTCCGCGGAAGAGGTGCCGCGAAAGAAGGCTCGGGGAAGCAAGACGTATCCGTAGACGAACCTTTACACGTTTTAGTCGAAGGCGATACTATGGTTGATATTGATCGAGCCTGCGAGATGATTGAAAAGTTACTCGTCCCTGTCGATGAAAACATGAACGAACACAAACGAGAGCAGTTGAGACAACTCGCGATTATGAACGGTACGCTCAGAGAAGTCGACGAACAGGAGTTAAGATTGCAGCAAGAAGAAGAGAACGCACTTTTGTATCAGTTGCCGGATCATATCAAATCCAAAACGGACGAGATGTACAGGAAAGATATAGAAAGAGTTCACGGCACTGGAAACGGTTTAGAAGACAAATACTCAGATTTCTTGTCCGAAATCGGCGTCGACCCGAGCTCTCTCGGAGGAAAAGCTGGCGTGAGTTACGCGGTTGGAGGAGTAGATCAATACAACCCCTTGAATGCTAAAATTTCTGGTTTAGGTGCCGGCGCAAGAGCTGCACCGGCATCATCCGTTGGAGTGGGCGCAGGTGCACCACAAGCTGGCGCGGCGCCGTTCAGTGGTGGCGGCAACAATCCGGACGATAAAAACAAGCTATACGTGGCGAATTTACCGCCGCACGTGACGAATGAACAATTGCGTCCGATTTTTGAAAAATTCGGCCGCGTTACGGCGTGTGACGTTGTTCCAGACCGCGATAAACAATTATCGTGCAAAGGATTTGCGTTCGTAACATTCGCTACCGAGGTGGAGGCTCGATCGGCAATTCCGCATACGAACGGCATGACTATCGAAGGACGAGTGGTAGAAACGCGCATTAAAAACGAGCCGAAAGTCCCGATTCACAACGCGTCTGGAGGTGATACCGCGCAGGAAGACGTAAACGAAGAGGCAAAACTCTACGTGGCAAACTTACCATCGCATTACGAAGAGGAGGATTTGAAAACGCTGTTTAGCCCATACGGTTTAGTGCAAAGTGTGAAATTAGTCTTGGACCACACGACAGGTCTCTCCAAAGGGTACGGCTTTGTGCAAATGATGGATCAAGAGCAAGCGATGTCTGCGGTTGTAGCTGTCCACGGTAACATGGTCGAAGGGTGCACGAAACCTCTGGTTGTAAACATTGCCAACGATAAAAAACGAGGAGTCCTTGGCAATGGTTACGGCGCGCCGATGATGCCGATGATGGATGCCGCCACTGCTGCGTATTATTATCAACAACAGCAAATGGCAATGTACGGCTATCAACAGTACGAACAGCAATACGTCGTTCCTGAGGGCATTCAAGTGGGGGATATGAATTCTGCACCGGCGCCTCCTCCTCCGCCAGAAATTCCCGTACCTCCTCCGCCAGAAATTCCCGTACCTCCTCCGCCCGACCAAAGCGTCGTCGTAGATGACTTGCCCCCTCCACCGCCGCTGCCACCGTCTTCTTCTTAGTTTTATAGTAGTATTCATTTAATAATCCATTTAACAAATATAGACACCTGTACCAAAATGGTAGCATAGTATAAACTAAATCAAAACTTCATCACGTCTTGTTTGTTAAAAGCAGCAGAAAGCGTTTCGTCGCATCAACCGTTTCGAGAAATCGAGAAAACTACTCGAATTGCGAGTCATTATTTTCAAACCAGATTCCTCACTTCATCAGTCTTTTCAAAGAAAGAAAGAAAGAAAACTACTGAACAAAGAAGAAGAACAAGAAGGAGAAGAAGAAGAACACAACATGGGTGGCGGTGGAGAGATTGCGCTTCACGGCCAGTCTTCAAAATTGTCTTCATTTTTGTCCCTAAAAGATGTATCGACGAAGACTATCAATACGCCGACGACGGTTCAAAATTTGACGGAAAAGATGAAGACGAAGAAGAAAAACATAAACAACACGACGGAAAAAGAAGAAGAAGAAGAAGAGGAAGGAAAGCAACAAAAACAACAAAAACAACAACACCAACAACCTCATCGTCGCATGCGTTTGGATGGATTGCAAAATTACGGCACGGAGTATTGCTGGGCGTTAGATAAATCTGGTACGCCGTGCGAGAAAAAGGCACAAAAAAAATGTCCCGTGCCGTATTGTTTGAAACATTTACGGGTTGGAGACGACGCGTTTTCCACGAGAGAACATCCTCTCGGGATTGGTAAGATCTTGATCGCCAATTTTGACTTACCAAAGAATTACAAAATGGTGTACTTTGGAACCCGGAAACCGGTCAGAAAGTTGAACAAATTGAGAAAGGATTACATGTTGTCGTTTTGGCAAGGCGGCGGCGTGATAGACCCGCAAGACTGCCCCGTATCGTCGAAACTTCAATACATGTCTAATCCTGGGCCGGCAGAACGATCGAACGTGACGTGCACGGATCGCATGTTTGGCGATACCAGAGACGAAGGAATCGTTGGGAGAGAGTATAAAACGACGGAATTCATCCCGAAAGGCACGCAAATGCTTCAGTTTTACGGTCCGCAATGGTTCGCTTCGCGCGACATGGAGAAAATCAACGTTGGAACGAACAAATATCCAGCGCCGTTGAAAAGAAAGCGAGTTTGAGGAAGTTTGAGGCAACGAATAGAAAAGAGTTTAAGGAGCATGCACTAGCTAGGAGGAGGCGAGAGACACGACGAAGAAGTTTAGCAATATTATTGAAAGTTTTATGATGAGAGACACGGAGCAGCTGTTCAATACCAAGAACAACACCTTCATTCACACTTTCAAATTCACCACAAAAACACCAACAAAACACCAACAGAGAACGAGAAAAGAAAGAAAGAAATGCGTCGTCGTTCTTTTTTCTTCGTCTTCTTCGCGCTGATTTTAACGACCATTTTTAACGAATTCACATCCGCGCAAGGAAGAGGAAGAGATGTCGACGACGACGACTCTTCGTTGTCGTCGTCGTTTACGTCTTTGTCGTCGGTGGATGAAGAAGAAGAAGAAAAAAGTGGTGCCGTCGTAAAAGTCGCAAAAGGAGAAGATGAACAAGAAGAAGTACCGGCGGTCTCAGAAGAGAAGTCTCTAAAAGCACCACCAACATCATCACCAGAGGAAGAGTGGAGTAATGCTGACTCGTCGTCGACGAACTATAAAGAAGACGATGAAGGTGCGGTGAGGAAGAGAACAACGCAGAAAAAAGAAGAAGAAGAAGAAGATTATCTTCGATCGGTGGAAGAAGGAGAAGAAAAACAGAGCATTCGGGAAAAAAGAGAAGAAACGTTATCGAAAGACTCCTCTGCTTCTTCGTCATCGACTATCGGAGATGAATACGAAAAGATGATGGGAGGAGAGGACGAGGGAACTCAAGAAGTTGACCTTCCGCCGGACAGCTCTACCTCTTCTTTAAAAGATGAAAATGAAGGAAAAGAGACCGCTCCGGGGTCGGTTGTCGCCGAAGACGCCGTAGAGAAAGAAGAGAAGGAAGAAGGGAAGCTGTCATATATAAAAGAAGAAGAGGAAGAAGAAGAAGAATCGTCGTCATCGTCATCGTCTCGAAAAATTTCCTCCGAGGAAGAGGCATCGAAGAAGGAAACGGAAGAGTCGATGACTTCGTCAACGCCGTCAGTCGGCGAAACGGAGAAAGAGTTGTACGAAGAAGCCGCAAAGGCGGACGATGTCGCCGTCGTCGAGGATAAAGACGAGAAAGTTTCAGAAGAAGAGGAAAGTTTCGACGACATGACAGAACCAGCTTCGACAAACGAAGCCGACGGCGCGAAAAAGACACTCGAAGAGGCTGAAAAATACGTCGAGCTGAAAGATGTGTATGAAGCTGTAAGTGAAGAGAAGAGAACGTCGTCGTCGTCAAATGATGGTGAAAGTGGAGAAACTGTTGAAGAAATGAAAGAGCCTGCGTCAGAATCTGTCGAAAAAGAGGAAGATTCAGTTAAGAGAGACGAAGAAATCGTCGAAGAAGATGCAGCGACGAAGGAGTTGGAAATGCCGGTTGAAAAGAAGGAGGAAAAAGTAGAATCGAAACCAGACGAGTTGAAATCGAAAGAGACTGAAGAAAGCGACACTGGCAAGGGAGAAAATGAAGATGTATCTTTTGAAGGCGCAACGGAAACGACTACGGATGATTATAATGATAATAATGAGAGCGGCGCGTCTTCTTCAGGGACCGAGAAGCGAAGACATCGTCATCGCAACACGACGCATTCGAGAAGGTCTTCCACAACCCATCGTCACAGAAACAGTAAGAAAAGCACAGAAGCTTCGGATTACGACGATTCCTCCGTGAAAGAAGAGGAGAAAACGCAAGAACGACCAGTTGAAGAAAAAGAAGAAGAAGATTTGACCGCAGTCGCCGCTCTCGGCAACAGCGAAGAAACACCTAATAAGGAGGAGGAGAACGAAAAGGAAAAGGAAGAATCTACTCGCGAGGAGGAAGTTCTTGAAGAGAAAAAAGAAGAAGAGATGATCGAGGAAGAGAAAGAAGAGTTGGAGGAGAAGGAGAAAAAGGTGGAGGAGGAGGAGGGCACCGTCGACGACACCAACGATTCATCGTTTGACTCGGACTTCTCTGCCGAAAGCGGCGATAGCGGAGAAAAAGAGGAAGAGAAAGAAGAAAAGAAAGAAGAAGAAGCCATTCGTGAAGAGCTTCAAGAAGAAGAGGAAGAACGAGAAGAGGAAAAGATGGAAGAAGAGCAAGAATTAGAACAAGAATTAGAACAAGAAGGAGGGGAAGAGGTATCTTCGTCGTCGTCGTCTTTTTCTCGAAGAGAACGTGCGAGTGGATTCCGGGATGAGGAGGAAGTCGAGGCTGATTTAGAACCAGCATCGGACACGAACGATTACACTTCCTCTTCTGATTACAGCGATGATTCCTATTCGTCATCTCGCAAGCCCGTTGGCTTACCAGACTTCAATAACATGATGTCAAACGTCCAAAGTGGGATGTACAACGTTCAAATGTTTGCCTTTCTCGTGGCAGTATTTGCAATTTTACTTCTCGGCGCGTACGCCAAGTTTAAGTACGAACGCTGGATGCGAGGTCCGGCTCCGCGTGTCGGTGGTGGAAGTAGAAGCGCTTTCTCGTCGCAAACCACGACGCCGAACAAGGGTCCTCCGATTGAATGGTCTGAGGATTGGAGCGATGACGACGATTTAGACGACGATTTCGGACCGGTTCATAAAATCGTTTGATTATTTCTAGATGCCGCCCATATAGCAGATTCATTGAAAATGTATTAGAGAGCTACAAAATAAAACTTTTTTACAAAAGCATTCTACTACTACTACTACTACTACTACTACTACTACTCTACGTCTACATCTACTCCTCCTTTCACAATATATCACCAGCTCTCGCTTTCTGACTGAACATGACGCGTAACCTTTGCGCGACTCCAATTCCAATCTTTTGCCTTCCGTCGCGGTGTCTGTTTGAAAATTTATTCAAATCCGCGATGACGTGTTCACCACCATATCGATCGTCTTTATACCGTTCGAAATGTTCAATCAACTTCTTCGCGCTTGGAAAGCGGTTCGCGACGACGTGCGCGTGTTCCTCGGCTAATCCCGATATCGCTGCCAGCGCTTTCACCCACGAGACGTTCAAATGGTCCAATTTTTTAATTTTCTTCTCGTCCACCGTGGCGACGACGCCTACCGATATCGCGTTGTGGTTCTTCTTAAACGGAAGATCTGCTAACCATCTGTGCATGCCGATGATGTTATCAACGACCGCTTGCTCGTTTAAACACTCCACTACTTTGACTTGAATCTTTCCTAGATTCCCAAACCCGCCCGAGCGTACGATTAATTTCGTTTTCATCGCGGAAACAAACTTATCGTTGAACGCGTCTTTGGCGCCGACCTGGGCCATCTCCTTCCTCGTTCGTTTCAAGACGTAATCGTCTAATCCGTACACCAACAACGTGAGAATACCAACCGAGTCCGAGCGTCGTTTCGCTTTCAACAGAACATCCGATAAAGAACCGTCCTGTATGTGTTGCAAGCGTTCCGTTTCTTCCTCTTTTTCGAGGAGTTTCACAAACTCTTCGCCGTTTAAAACCAACGTCGTGCGCATCGACCAGTATAATCTCGGATCTTCCTCGACTTGCATTTGCGTCAAATCTTGCAACATAAATCTGCACTCTTCGTTCGATCTCAGTTCCTTCTCCGGATGCCGAATCCACGTGATGCTCGCGGGGATAGGCAATAAAGTTCGCGACGTACATCGCAATCGATTTTTATAGTCTTTCGATACGCCTGAAATCCCATTCGGCGCGTCCAAACCTTGCATGACTGCTTTACCGACATTTTTAATCGCAAAGTCGTGATCTAACACGCACGTGATTTTACCAAACATTTTGCTTTTCCCACTTTGATACGCGGGGTGCGCATACGGTAACGTTCGCGCGTATTTACTTCTCGTCGGCGTAAATTGTGTGGACGGCGACGGCGGCGGTACCATCCTTCTCGCCGGAGGCGACTCCGACGGCGGCGGCGACGGCGCCATTCTTCTATACAAGGGTGATTCATCGTCATCTTCTCCATAGACGTCATCATTTCTGTGCGTAGGCAACATCACGTTATCCTCCTCGTTTTCCATCATCTCTTTCCTTTTCTTAGTAGTATCGTCGTCACTATCTCGATTCTCCGCGGCGCGTATTTGTAACATCACTTCCATCGCTCTCTCTCCGTCTGTGTTAAAATCAATCAAATTCACCTCTTTCAACGCCAAGACGTTACCGAATACTTTCACCGAATACCTTCGATCAAACCCGCCCGTGTACTCCATAATTTCTCCTTTTCTTCCGTTTAATTCTGGTTTACTGAGTATGTTATGGATTAAAACTTCCGTGCCGATGTTAAAGAAGCGTTTTTGTTGTTGTTGTTGTTGTTGTTTTTGTTCTTGTTGTTCTTGTTGTTGTTCTTCTTCTTCTTCTTTGTCTTCTTCTTCTTCATCGTCGTCGGAGTCAATCAAAATCACTTCTTCTTCTTTGTCTTCTTCTTCTCTTTCTTCGCTTCTCGTCGTTCGAATTGCACACCGAACCACCGGAGATGATGATGGTTCTTCTTCCTCTTCGTCTTCGCTTTCTGCTTCTTCGTCTTCTTCCCGCTCCTCCCCTACTAATTCTTCTTCTTGTTGTTCTTCTTCTTCTTCTTCTGAAGAGGATGAAATCTCAATCACTTCGTCGTTCACCGTCATCGTGTAGGTAACTCTTGATTAAAAGTTATACGATGGTGTAAACCGTGTAAAAAAACTCTCAAAGTAGCTCTCCGTTAAAAAAAGGTATAATACAAAACGCGCGTGTCTATTTATTATGTGTACATATATTCGTGAAACGCGCTCAAAGGAGCGCGTTCAAAGGAGCAGATATAAAGTAGGGGATTTCACCTCTCACTCAAAACACTCAGATGATTTTTTGAATTTTTTCGTTCGTTCTCTCTTCTGTTTTTTTCTTTCACCCCACTTTTGCTCAAAATTCCTTATATTTTTTAACACGTTGAAAGAGTGTGTTGATGTTAAAAAGATGACGACGCTTTTATCATTACGTGTGGTGAGAGGAACAACAAAAACAACTTCGAAACTTTCTTGCGATAACAACAACATTAACAGAAAGATAAGATGTGGTTTTGCGATGACGATTCAAAAGAAGAAGAAGATGGAGGAAGGAAAAAGAAACGGCGTCTTCGCGATGACGACGACAAAGATTATGACGATGATGATGGATAAAAGATTAGTAGTTGTGACGCGTGCCCACAATAATAATACGAATAACAACAACAAAGAAGAAGAAGAAGAGCAACAAAAGTTGTTATACAAGTTTTGGGAAGATTCGGAGCGACTCGCAATTCTTGGTTTGTGGTTTTCGTTGCTCGCGGTGGCGACGTTCGTGGCACCAAAGACGGTGGGGTCGTTCGATGCGGATTTAATCGCGCAACTCGTTTCCTCTCCGTTTCAAGGTCAAGTGAACCCACTGTTTGAGGCTTTGTTTAACAGTTTAGGGGTCGTTCCTATGGTGTACGCGTGTTTACTCGTTCCGGGCGGTGGCGAAAAACAGCCAAAGTTGCAACCGAAGTTTTTCGTCGGCGCGTCGTTCGCTCTCGGATTTTTCGCGTTGGGACCGTATTTAATCGCCCGGACGCCGGTGATAAACGGCGTAAAGAAATCCAATTTAGGATTTATCACCAAGAATATTCTCGAATCTAAAATTAACGCGTTGTTGTTGACGGCGTTTAGTGGGTTTTTATATTTCTGGGCGTTCTCGCACGTTTTCGACGCCGCGGTGGTTTCGGAGTTTGTGACGTTGTTGACGAAACAATCGACGTTGGCGTGCGTGTCTACCTGCGATTTAATCGTCTTGTCGTTGGTGATGAAAACGGCTATACAGGAGGATTTACAGAGACGCTCGTCGTCGTTGTCATCATCAGCATCATCTGATGTGAACCCATTGTTTTATTTATTACCCGTGTTAGGTCCGTCGTTGTATTTGTTAACTCGACCGGAGTTGGAAGAATGAGGGGATGAGTATTATATACGCGCGATTTTGTTGTAACATAAAAATGATGCAGTTAGTATTGATATAGTAGATAGATAGATGTTGATTTTAATTTATAATTGAATTTACAAGTCCATGATGGCTTTCGTTGCCGCCGCAGTCAGCGTCGTGTTGTTCTCTTCCGCGTATTTGATCAATTTATCCAGCGCCGCTCTTTCGACCATGACTCTCGGCAATCGTTCCGCGGAAACGAGTTGTCCCGGGACGTATGATCCCGAGAACGCTTTCATTTCTTCAAACGAAACGCGGTTGACGAACTGACCAAACTCTTCGCCGCTGTTACGATTTTGTTTCCAATACGCGAAAATCGGTTCGAAAAACGTCTCCAAATCGTCCACCTTCACCTTGTCTTCGTACGCTCGGGCAATTCCGGTTAAGTTTCTGGTACCGCCCAACCAGATTTGGTATGAGTTCGGGCCATCGCCGACGAAACCGAGTTCGGCCATGTATGGTCTCGCGCACCCGTTCGGGCAACCAGTCATGCGAATCATAATGTCGTCGGATTTCGTCAAGCCGACGGTTTCCATGACCTCGCGAAGTCTCTTGTTGATGTCCGGTAAACCTCTCTCGGCTTCGGTAATTGCTAAGCCACACAAAGGCAACGCCGGACACGCCATGGATAACTGGTCGTTCGGCTCGATGTCGTCCAAATCTTTCAAACCGGCGTTTTTCAAAGTTTGGTGAATGTCATCCTTCCACTTCGGGTCGACGTCGCACAAGAGTAAATCTTGTTGCGCGGTCAAACGCACCGGTAACTCGTATCTTTCGATGACCAATCTCAAGGCTTTTTTCAATTCACCTCTTAAGCGACCGTTTTGGACGTGGACACCGTACCATAACTTCCCATCGCCTTGGTCGTTCCACCCGAGGTACGATTTAAATTCGAACTCCGGCAACGGCGCAATCGGTTGAAACTTCTTGCCGAAATATTGTTCCGTGACCGAGGTGAACTTCTCGACGCCCCAGCTGTGGACGAGATATTTTAATCTGGACTGTTTTCTGTCGTCCCGTCTGCCGTAATCTCTTTGTGTGCAAACGATAGCTTTGACGGCGTAAAAAATATCATCTTTATCGACGTAGCCAATCGGCGATGCGATTCTCGGGAAAGTTTCGTTGTTTCTGTGCGAGCGTCCCATACCGCCGCCGGCGTAGACGTTATACCCGACGTGTTTGCCGCCGGCATCGTTCACGACGCAAATACCGATATCGTTACTCAAGAAATCGATGTGATTATCCCCGGGGACCGTGACGCCAATCTTGAACTTTCTCGGCAAAAAGAGACTCCCGTAAATCGGTTCTTGGCTTCCTTCAAAGTTCGTCCCGTTGGAGTTATCCATTCTCGCTTTCGTAATTTCAGGCTTTTCCACCGTCATGACTTGTTCTCCATCGAGCCAGACGTCGTAATACGCCCCCGATTGCGGTGCTAACAGTTCCGCGATGTCGAGCGCAAGCGTTTGCGCGATTTCGTAACTCGGGTTCTTCTTGTCCGGACACGGCGCCGCGGTCACGTTCCGGTTAATATCCCCGCACGCGCCTAACGTGGACCCCATGTTTTGAATGACCGTTCTAAACGTTTGCTTCAAATCTTGTTTCAAAATACCGTGCAACTGGTAGGTCTGTCTCGTCGTCAAACGTAACGTCCCGTTCCCGTGCGTATTCGCCAAGTCGTCCATGGTTAAATACAACTTATTCGAGACTAAACCAGCCGGTTGTTTCGTTCGCATCATGAATTGGTAAAATTTTCCTTCCCCGAACGATCTCTTCTCGCGATCGTCTTGTTGGTATCCACCGTGGAACTTATACAATTGCGCGGCGTCTTCGGAAATGAACGTCTCCGGCGTCGCCAACTGCTCAATCAGAGGGTGGCGTAAAAAATCCGAGTTTTCTTTGATGATTTCCACCGCGGACCTTTTCGGTTCTTTCGGTGGTTCCGCAGACGATTTCTTCGACGGCGTGGCCACGTTGACGATGGTTAAGTTTGATCTTCTTCTCAGTTGTTTTAAAGTTTGTTGTCCTCGGACTTTAACGTTTTTGTTATTCGTCGTCGTTGCATTTTGATGACTTCGTCTGAAGGACAACTTCCCCCAGGAAGCAGCAGCAACGCCGGTGTTGTTGGTCGTTGATGACGTTGCCGTCGTCGCTGTATTGATTGAAGAGAGAACGAAAGAAGAGTCAGTCAGCGTTTGTGCACGCACACATTTCTAGGACGAACGCGCCACAAAGAGAGAGAGAGAGAGAGAGAGAGAGAGAGAACGAGTGCAGGACGACGACGACTGGATGATACTGTACTCTTTTCTGTAACGCGTGTCGTCAAGAGTTGTAAAATTTTGGACGCCGCCCTAGTGGACTTCTTCTAGGGATTGGATTGGAGACGAGTGCGGCGTGATGATGACGATGACACCGTTGTCTTCTTCTTTTCGTTTTTAAGAAGACAGAAAACAGATCATCGACGAGATAAACGTCATCAAAAGGAAAGAGAACGCGTGCTACGAGAGAACAACGCACCGCCACTGGTTGAAGCTAACATAGTATAATATAGAGTTTTATTATAATGGAGTTGATTGTTTTGATTGTCTAATAACGCAGACAGAGGAAAAAGATAAACGATAAAGGGGGATCTCGTCGATCGACGGACGAAAAAGCGTCTCTTTCTTTCTTTCTTTCTTTCTTTTTATCTCCGAAAACGAAAATATCTCTCTCTCTCTATCACTAACAACACACTATTTAACAACAACAACAACAAACTACTGGTATATAAGAAGAAACTTATTAAGAAGAATTAATACAAATACGGCACCATAGCTTTCCTGTGTCTGGGAAAGCCTTTAATTCGGCGACGATACCAAATCAAGTGGTTCTTAGCCTCTACGCTCAAGTTTCCGCAAACCGCGAGGAACATCAAAGCGCTCGACTTTGAAAACCGGAGTATAACGCAAAGGCTGAAATACAAAACGCACTCGAAAAAGTAGTGCGGACAGGCGACTAAGGAGAACAAACCGGAATCTATTTGCGCGTATTGATCTCTTCGGTCGGTTTGTAAGCGAGCGTTCCGGAGTAACACGTGGCACTCGTATTGCTTCCAATTGGCGTAGAAGAAGAGAAGAGAGGCGAAAAAAAAGTCGGCTTTTCTTTCTCCCTTTTCTTCGTTGCTACTTTTTAAGCTCAAAGTCGCGCACACGTAATAGAGTAAACCTAGAACGTATCCAATCGCGTGCATTTGCGCCTTCTTCTTGTTCACTTTGACGAACAAAGATTCCATCAACCGTCGCGTGACGTGAAACTGAAACAAGACGCTCGCGAGAAGCTCGCCGCTCGAGTCTCCTAAGACCGCCTTCGCGAATGAAAACACACCAATACTATTTCTCTTTGATTGAATACATCGCAACAAAGTATACGCGTTCCAAGTGGTACCGACGACGTAGAAGTGCGTGAACCACGCGTGCGGAACGTTTAATAAGATTCGTTTCGTTTTCGATGTATCGTCGTCTTCTTCAAAGTTGACGCCTCTCGTCTTGCCTCGCTTCGCCGTATCGCGCACAAACTTTGAAAGGAACGGGACGTTCACTTGTCCCAAAACAGACGCTACGATGAACGCGACCCAGAAATACCCGACTCCTAAAACCGAAGTACCTGCCGCGAAGAATACCATCTTCAGAATACTCTTTTGTTTTTATTCTGCTTGAGTTGATGAAAGAGGAAAAGAGGAAGAGAGACAGTTAGTTTTGTGGTGTTTGACAGTTATTAGAACACACACACACACACACCGTTCCGTTACGGACGACTTTGTTGAACACACACAGAGTGAGAGCAGAAAAAACGCGACGATGCGGTATACATATACACACACACACACACACACACACACATAATATATCCTCAGATAGCACAAACTATATGATTTCAAGTTTCACGAAGAGCGATGCTCTTTCAATGGCTTTCAGTACAGAATTTTAGCGTTCCTCACTGGATGTGTACGTGTGTTATATATATATAAGAAGAAAGAGAGGAAAAAGGAAACTTTGGACGACGGACTTTTACGGACGACAAAGACGTAAACGACGACGTAAACGACGCACCACCCTTTTAGAAGACATTATAATAGGCATATTGTTGTTTTTGTGTGTAAGAAGAAAAGTGAAGAGAGAGAGTGAGAGAGAGAGAGAAAAGCGCAAAAGCAAAAAGCAGCAAAAAAAACAACAAACCAAAAAGAAAAAAAAGGAGAGAACTCGTGTGATTTTTGATGTGAAAGCGTTTTTCTCCATTTTTTAAAGAAGCAGAGAAGAGAGTCAACTGCAGTCGGCGTCACAGAAACACCACACAAAACAAGAACAAATCATCATCAAATCTCACATATATAAATAATGTCTGTGGCTGGGATTGATTTCGGATCGAAATCGAACGTGGTCGCGCTCGCGCGACGGAAAGGCATCGATGTCGTCATGAACGAAGAGTCTAAACGGGAGACGCCTTCATTGATCAATTTTGGGGACAAGTGCGTTCAGTATTCCTCGTTTTTATATTAGATGATGATGATTTTTTTTCTCTCATCGTCTTGTCGTTTCGTCGAAGTGTGGAGGCGAGAGAGAGACGATCAAATTTCGAAACTTTCGTTGCCGTTTTCTTCTTCTACGAGCAGCGCGCGCGCATCAGAGCCACTTGAAATAAAGTGTTTGTGTATTCATTATTCATTGGTTTCAGTAAGAATCTGATGATGATATTGATGATGATGAAAATGATCGGAGTGAATCGACCGAAGCAGAGAGGTGCAAGAGGCAGCCGGCGAAAGAAGAAAAAGAAACTTCCTTCTTTTTTCCTTCTTTTTCCATCTTTTTTGGAAACGACGTTTCGTTTGTTTGATCATCAACAGACAGACACAGAGTTCAGAGGAAAAGAGGAGGAGTTTTTCTTTCGCAAAGTTTCTCTCTCTTTCTCTTTCTCTTTTTCTCTCTCGTCGCGCTCGTGAATCACAACACGCACTCACCACATTAATTCTCTTTTCTTAATAATAATAATAAAATAGGCAACGATTCGTTGGATGCGCGGCTGGCGATAAGATCAACATGCAACCGACGAATACGGTCGCGTGCTTGAAACGCTTAATCGGGAAGAAATTTTCCGACCCAACTGTCCAAGAAGACATCAAGGAATTCTTGTATCCAGTGAAGGGAGACAAGAAGACGGATAATATCATCGTTACCGTGGAGTATATGGGGAAACAAAGAGAATTTTCGCCGGAGCAGTTGTTGGGGATGATTTTGAGCGATCTGAAGAGAATCGCCGAGTTGGATAACGAGGGGATTAAAATTACCGACTGCGTTTTGTCCGTGCCGATTTTCTTTGACGACGTGCAAAGACGCGCGATGATTGATGCGGCGAGCATTTGTGGGTTGAACGTCATGCGATTGATGCATGAAACGACCGCCACGGCGTTGGCGTACGGCATTTTCAAGACGCAAGAGTTCACGGAGAAACCGGTACGAGTGGCGTTTGTGGATATCGGGCACTCTGCCATGCAATGTTCGGTGGTTGAATTCACTTCGAAAGGTTTGAAAGTGCTCTCGACTGGATACGATACAAACTTAGGTGGCGGCGCGTTTGATAACGCGATGTTCCACCACTTTTGCGAGGAGTTCAAGGAGAAGTTCAAAATTGACGTCAAATCGAATCCCCGCGCGAGCTTTCGTTTGAAATCAGCCATCGAAAAGACTAAGAAAGTATTGTCGGCGAACCCAGAAGCGCCGATTAACATCGAGTGTCTCATGAACGACGTTGATGTGCGATCGATGATTACGAGAGATAAGATGGAAGAGTTGGCACAAAACGAGTTAAACGGTTTGATGGGTCCGGTGCGACAAATGGTGGTCGATGCCAAGTTGGACATTGCCGACATCGCCTCGGTCGAATTGGTCGGTAACGCCTCGAGAATTCAATCGATTCAAAAAGCGTTGGAGGATTTCTTCCAAAAGCCAATCTCGAGAACGTTGAACGCCTCGGAATCTGTGGCCAGAGGGTGCGCGTTGCAAGGCGCCATGCTCTCGCCGTTGTTTAGAGTGCGCGAGTTCGACGTCATCGACGCGTTCGCGTTCCCGGTCAAAATGTCCTGGCCGGGAGACGCGAAAGGCGAAGTGAAAGACGTGGAATTGTTTGAGAAATATAATCCGATTCCGAGCACGAAACAAATGACGTTTTTGAAAGCGAAACAGTTCACGGTGCAAGCGACGACGAAAACGGACGAATCCTCCGAGGAATCTTCGTTGGGTACATTCGATATCGGACCGTTACCGGCCGTCCCGAAAGGCAAAGACAAGCACAACGTCAAATTGAAGGTGAAATTGAACTTGAACGGCTTAGTCGAGTGCACGGAAGCGCAAGTGTGGGAGGAGTACGAGGAAGAGGTGCAAGTGCCGATTGTCGAAGAACCGAAGAAAAAAGAAGAACCGAAGAAGACAGAGGGGGATGCGAGCGAAAAGATGGAAACCGAAGGCGGCGAAGAAGGTGGGGAGGACGGAGAACAGAAAGAGGAAGGAAAAGAGGAAGCTGCCAAGGAGGAGGAACCAGAAGAAACGAAACCGAAATTTAAGATTGAGATCAAAAAGAAAACGAAGAAAACGGACGTGCCGATCAAATCGACGTACACGGGCGGTTTACCGGACAAAGTGCTCGAAAAGTGCAAGCAAGAAGAATTTGACATGGCGTTGCAAGACAAGGTCATGGAAGAGACGAAAGAGAGAAAGAACGCGGTCGAGGCGTACGTGTACTCCATGCGCTCAAAGTTGGAAGAAGGCGGACAGTTGTTCGATTACGTCAAGGAAGACGTGAGAACCTCGTTCAAAGAGTTGTTGAACAACACCGAAGACTGGTTGTACGAAGACGGCGAAGACGAGACCAAAGGTGTTTACGTAAAAAAACTCGAAGAGTTATCCACTATTGGTAACCCGATCGAAGAGAGATACAACGAAGAACACAAACGACCGGGCGCGATTGCCGCCTTAGAATCTTCGTGTCAAATGATCAAACAAACGTCTCAAGATGAAGCGCACGCGCACATCGACGCCGAAGACTTAAAGAAAGTGCAAAAAGAGTGCGACGATGCCGCAAAATGGTTGGCTGAAAAAGTCGAATTACAATCCGCTTTACAGAAAACCGACGATTGTGTGTTGAAATCAGAGGACATCGAGAAGAAACGATCTGTGTTGGAGCGCTTCGCGACGCCGATTTTATCGAGACCAAAACCAAAACCGAAACCGAAGAAGGAAGAGAAGAAAGAAAAGAAAGAGGGTGAAGAGGAAGAGAAACTCAATGGCGACGCGGAGATGGAGGATGGCGATGCTGGTGCGGCGGCGGCCGAGGGCGAGGATGCGCCGATGGAAGAAGATGCGAAACCGGCGGCGGGTAGTGCGGAAGACTTAGACTAATATTAATACGTACTAAATAAACACAAAACAAATTATTCATGCAACTAATGCGTATCATCTATCGACGATACTCTACTTCTATACTTAAATCCATTGCGTCGAGGGACGCGCATTCATTTGACTATGTCTCGGCGACCTTTGTTGTTGAGGACTCACGTCGCCGGATCGGTATCCTCTCGGACTCAACGCGTAGCCTTCATTCACTGGCTTATTCTTTTTCACGACGGGTTCAGAAACGTACACCGCGTTCGATAATTTACTCGCTAAAGATTCCGTCATGCCGTCCTCCTCGCCCGGCAACGTATCGTATTCCGCGTTCAACAGCGGCACCGAATCCTTCTCGACCAAATGCGACGGTAAATGCCCAGCCCTCGTTCTCAATTCGTCTGCCTCTTTCGGTCCTCGACTACCGTATGAATACGTAGTCATCGGCAAATACCCGCTCTCAATCGCGGAAACCAACGGATCGCACACCGCCCACGCGGCTTCGAGTTCATCGTTCCTCACGAAATGCGATTGGTTCCCGTTGATGACGTCCAATATCAATCGATCGTAGGCGCGTCGAGGAGCTTCCCCGCACGCATCTTTCCTCGCCTGTTCCATTTTCCATCTCGAACTCAATTCCATTTCCGAAGCCGTAGGTTTGACTCCTAACCCGGGTTCTTTAATCGTCACTTTCATGTACATCTCCTCTTTCGGTTGCATGCGCAAAACAAACTCGTTCGGCCCGGCCGCGTGTAATCGAGATTCGTCGTCGTCTCTCCCGAAAACATCCCCGGGGGATTCCTTCAACTGCACTCTAATTTCCGACCTCTTTTCGTTCATCCCTTTCCCGGCTTTAAAAATAAATGGCACCCCATCCCATCGATCGTTGGCTAATTTCAACACCGCCATGATAAACGTCGGCGTGGTTTTCGAATTTTCCGGGCGTTCCTCCATGTAGCCCAAATGCTTCCCGTTTTTCGACTTCGAGTATTGCGCGACGACGGTGTTTTTCAACACGTCAAATTTATCATTACTCATCGCCACTTGTCTCAAAACTTTCAACTTCGCGTCTCTTATATCTTCCGGATCTAACGATACCGGCGCGTCCATCGCCAGCACGGCTAAAATTTGCAACAAATGGTTTTGCATGACATCTCTAACGATCCCATTCTTATCGAAATAATCCCCTCTTTGTTGATCTTCCGCGCCGTACGGTTCTTTGAATATAATCTGTACGTTCGCCACGTTATCTCGATTCCAAATCGGCGATAACAATCGATTCGCAAACCTCATCACCAACAAGTTCTCAATCACTTCTTTACCTAAATACCTATCCATGCGGAACAAATCGCTCTCGGGCCATCGTTTGCTCAACTTCACGTTCAGCTTTTCGCACGTCTTTCGATCTCTACCGAACGGCTTTTCCAGAACTAACCTCGTCCATCCTTTCTTCTTCATCTTCATCTCCGCTTGCGTGTGGTCCGTGAAATGCACCTTCCTCGTCCTCGTGAAGTAGTGGATTTGGTTCGCGCAGTCGACGATAAAATCCGAATGTAAACAGCAATACCACATTCGATTCGATGCCGGCGCGTCTTCGTTTTCTTTCTCCCACGATTCAATGTGCTTCGTTATCGAATGAATGGATCGATAATTTTGTCTCATCGTTTCTTCGCTCCCTTCTTTACTACCATGAAGACCGGATTCCGAATCCGATTCCTCGTCCTCTTCTTCTTCGTCTTCTTCTTCTCCTCCTCCATCGCCTCGACCATTTACTACGGTCGTCTTCTTTTTATTCTTTTCTTCTTCCTCTGAAAGAAACTCCTCGTCCAAATAACACACCTCCACGTCCTCTAAGAACTCCTCCATCAAACCTTTGGTCGGTTTCGTCGCGTTCGACCCATCCGGCGGTTTCCAAACCCGGTTGATGTGTTCCGTCAATTCCGTTTTGAACTCGATTTCAGTTTTGCTTTTCCTTCGCAAAGAGGCGAATATTTTAGTCCTGGTTGGTAAAAAACCCGCGGAGTGGAGGTTGAACAAAGACGGGAAGAGTTTCTTCGAGGCTAAATCTCCAGTCGCGCCTAAGATGACGATGGATAAGCCCTCGTGGCGGACTTGGAGGCGAGACGGAAGCGGCATTCGTAAAAGGTATTTTTCTAACGACGATGAGTTTGTTGTTTTGTTCTCTTTCGTGTGTTAGTGGCGATTTTTATTAGACCTTTGGAAGGTAGTATATACATTTTTATTACAACTCTCGACATCATCGGGGAGAGGATGTCGATGCTACTTATCATTATGCACGCGCAGTAGCATTTACTGCTACTGTTGTTGTTGTTGTTCTTGTTGTTGTTCTTGTTCTTGTAGTAAATTAAACGGTCCTCCACCACTGGCCATGGTGTTCATGACGCTCGAGAACAGGTCGTTGTAAGGTCCGGGCATCTGCGTCGTGTCCACGGTGATCTTTTCCGTTTTCGTTTCGCCTTCTTCTTGTCCGTCGACGTTTTTCTCGTTCACTTCGAAGGAAAACGTGCCATCGTTGTTGTTTGAGATGGTTTGCGAAATGGACGCATCCCCAGTTTTGATGGTGATTTGGGAGGAGGACTCGGTCGGTTTGCTCGCTTCGATCGTCACGTCGATGTCTTTTTGTTGTTGTTCGTCATCGGGCGACGCTTTTCTTGACGTTTCCTGGTGCACTTTCGCTTTGAAAAGAGTCACCGGGTCGTCGATTTTCTCGTTTTCGACGTTCTCTTGTTCGTCGTTACCGAGAGACGCCTCTTCGTCGTCGGCGTCTTTCTTCACCAACTCGACGTCGCCGAGCAAATAGCAATTCAACACTTTCAACTTGTTGTCTTTCGTGTTCGTTTCTTTCGTTCTCGGTTTAACCAACGCGGAGCCAATTTCCGGTAACAAAAAATTCCCCGGGCTCGCGGCATCTTCGGAGACGTAGTCGTCTCGGCATAGCTTACCGAATAAGAAACCATCGATCATGTCCGCTCCTTTCCGGGAGATGAAATTGAACGCTTTATATGAAAAATCTGGACCGATTGCGTAGGACGACAAACCGGCGCCCGGGCCATCCAAAGGCCAATAATAGAAATACATTCTTCGTTCGTACCCATCTCGAACTGGTTCTTGATTCGGTCCCGGTGCGCCTAAACGAATGAAATTCTCCGACCGTTTGCAATTTTCCGGTCTATCTGGACCGCAAATCCCTAAAAAGAGCTCTCTCTTCATCATCAAAAAGTCGTAATCTTTCGGCGCGTTTTGAAGTAATCGAGTCATTCTCGGTTTCATTTGGTTCTCGTCCACGTACGCGTCGGCTTCCATAATCCAAGCGGGATAGATTTTATCGTTTCCTTTATCGTAAGCCATATCGTCCACCGCTCGCCACGCGTTGAAGTGCGCGTACATGCATCCGATGTGATGCGCGATTGGCATCCTTCCGTCGCCCAACTTCCCAGTCTTTGGATTGCGTTCATCGATCGACGCGATCCACTGTATGCCTTTTAAATTATCCGGATTTCTCCTCTTATCATCTACTTTCCACGTGAGACTCTTGAAATTCTCGCGGTTGAATATCCTCAAGGGCTGTAAACCGTATTCGGCGTCTTCCAGGTTCTGCGGCCACTGTCCGGCGTTCACGCCGAAGATTGAATTCGCACTCGGGAAGACTTTTTGAATGCGTTTCAAATCTTGATAGTCTTTCTCGTTGTCGCGTTGAACGATAACTAACGGGTTGAATCGTTGCTGTTCTTGTTGTTGTTGTTGATCATCTTTATTATTATTATTATTCATCATTTCTTTTGATGTCTTTGATATCGTCGCTTTCTTCTTCTTATTTTTAGTATTAGTATTAGTATTAAGAGCCTGTCCTGAAGCATCCACCCCCGCGTTCCCAGCAGCGACGAATGCATCAACATCACTCAGGCTTCTTACCCTCGGCCTCTCGAGAGCAGCAGTAGTAGCAGTACTCGTCCTAGTAGTCGTAGTAGCATACGTGACGAAGAGTAAAACCAAAACGAACATCGTGGTCGTCATCGTCATCGAAGAAGAAGAAGAAGAAATGTTCTTCTTCTTCTTTTCAACATCTCGAATCAAAAGTCCGTCTTTCTCTTCTTCCTCGGAAGAATAAAACATCTCTCTCTTCTCTCTGATCCTCGTCGTTTGAATCGTCGTCGTCGCCTGAATCGAAGTCGAAGAGTGTATTCCTACGACTTTTAATTCTTCTTCTTATTATTGTTATTAGTAGTAGTATTCTTGAAAAGAAGTGAACCACAAAAGAGACAACGCGCGTTCAGTGTATAAATGTAACGATGATTTTGTTTGACAAACCCACAAAAAAAAAAGCAAAAAAGAGCAAAAAAAAAAAGATCTCACAGTTTGCGTCAAAAAAAGAGAGACAGAGCAGCCCTTTCATAAAAAAAAAACAAACAAACGAATGTTTTCTGTCGTTGCTTCTCTGCCGACGACGGCTCGAGGCGTGACGACGAGAATTACAACAGGTTTACGTTTAAGAGGACGAGAAGAAGGAGATGATGTTGGAAGAAGACGACGACAACAACAACAACAATGTTGTTCTTCTCTTTGTTTTTGTTGTTGTGGAGCAGACGGAGGAAAAACATTTACGTCACCGGATGAAAAAAAGCGTCCGACGAAGGGTCGTCGTCCCTTCCTTTCGTCGCCGCCGCATTTGACGACGACAAAAACGACGAGAACGTCTTCTCGACGTGTGTTCGATGTCTCCACCAAAGCCGTCGCGTACCCGAACGAACGAGAAGATAAACAACAACAACAACAACAACAACACGAACGTGAACACCATCAACAATTGATTAAAAAAGGCGACCGGATTCCAACTTCTTCCTTGCAATATTTCGATCACGAAGGCAACTTACAATCGATCGAGACGTCTCAGTTATGCTCGAAAGGAAAAACGATCGTCGTGTTCGCCGTGCCCGGGGCGTTCTTACCCACGTGCACGAATAAGCATTTACCAGGGTTTATCGACTTAGCCGCGAAAATGAAACAAGCCGGGTGCGATCTTATCGCGTGCGTGTCCGTGAACGACGCGTTCGTCATGGACGCGTGGGGGAAGGCTGTCGGCGCCGCTCCCGTGCTGATGTGCGGCGACGGTAGCGGCGACTTTACGAGAAAGTTAGGGTGCGAACTCGATTTGATGGATAAAGGCTTAGGAGTGCGAAGTAGACGATACGCGATGATCGTAAAAGACGGTATCGTGGAGTACATCGAAATGGAGAGAGGCGGCGCGTTTACGAGATCGAGAGCGGAGGACGTGTTACAGGTCTTGGAGGAGATCAAAAGTTAGAGAGAAGAGCTATTAGGAGGGAGAGAAGATTTTACCTACGCTTCAATATAGATTGTATAATATATATAATAAACACGAAACGGTTTGTATATAATCGCACATTTCTCTCTCTCTTTCTTTCTTTCTCTCTCTTTCTCTCTCTCTCTTTCCTTCTTCTTCTTCATAAAAATCAAAGGCTTTTAACCGCGCCGACTTTGCCTAAACCTCGATCGGCTAACAAATCCTCCAAATACTCTTCGTCGATGTCGCCCGTGATGTAGTCGCCATCGAAACAGGACGCATCGAATCGGCTAATGTTTGGGTTCATGGTCTTACCGGCTTGTAACAAATCCTCCACGGTTTGGTAAATCAACCCGTCCGCGGCTAAGACTTCGCACACTTCCTCTTCCGTTCGTTGGTTCGCGACAAACTCTTCGCGAGACGGCATGTCGACGCCGTACACGTTTGGGTGTCGCACTGGAGGTGCAGACGATGCCAAATACACTTTACTCGCCCCGGCGTCTCGAACCATGTTTACGATTTGGTTCATCGTCGTCCCGCGAACGATCGAGTCGTCCACCAACAAAACTTTTTTCCCGTTGAACACCGATCGCATGGCGTTTAATTTTCGTCTCACCGATAACTCTCTCGTTCTTTGATCTGGCATAATGAACGTTCTCCCGACGTATCGGTTCTTGACTAAACCTTCTCGGTAGGGTAAATTCAACGCGCTCGCGATTTCAATCGCAGACGGGCGACTCCCGTCTGGAACAGGGACGACGACGTCGATGTCCCACCCTCGCTCGGTGATGTGTTGCGCCAATCTTCGACCTAAATCCAGTTGGAATTCGTATACCGAAATACCATTCATGGTAGAATCTGGCCTGGCCAAATAAATGTACTCGAAAATGCACGGACACGCGTCCCCGGCCACGCACTGTCTGGACACCATCTTCCCGTCGTTGGTGATGATAATCGCTTCCCCCGGGTTCACGTCTCGGACAAATTTAAAGCCGAGCGGTCCAAACGCCGCGTCTTCCGACGCCACGCACCACTCATCCTTCCCATCTTTGTTCACTCTTTGACCTAAAACCAACGGACGAATCCCGTTCGGATCTCTGAACGCGAATAAACCGACGTCGTTGACCAAAGAAATCACTGAATACGACCCTCTTACTTTTTGTATCGTTTGCGTCACCGCGTCAAACATTTGCACGTGCGGGTCTCTCAGCGGGTGCAAATTAATTTCTCTCTGTAAATCTTCCGCGAAGACGTTTAACAAAACCTCCGAATCCGAATTCGTTCTCATGTGTCTCGCGTTCAAATGCCTCAATCGTAACTCGTCCGTGTTGGTCAAGTTTCCGTTATGGATTAAATAAATCCCGAGCGGCGAGTTGACGAAAAACGGTTGCGCCTCCGTCGCGGATAAACCGCCTTGCGTAGGATACCTCACGTGTCCTAACCCGATGTTCCCGTCTAAATAGTTCATCGTCCTTTTATCAAAAACGTCTTTCACTAACCCGTTATCTTTCTTCTCTTTAAATCGACTTCCGTCCGAGGTGACCATCCCCGCCGAGTCCTGCCCTCTGTGTTGGAGCATCAGTAACCCTTCGTATAACTCCGCGGAAACTTTGTTCTCGTGCGTCATCACGCCGATGATCCCGCACGCTCTCGTCACATCTCTTCTTCTAGCGTGATGTTGTTTTCTTCTGTTGTTGTGCTCGTTCTTTTTCTTACTTAATCTGTTTACTACTTTTGTGGGTGATCTTCTCAACTCTTTCGATGCGTTGTTGTTCAAAAATGATTTGAACTTTGTGGTTTGAGACGAAACTTGTTCGTGGTGGTGTTGGCTCATCATCATTTTCATCATCATCATCTTAGTAGTATTATTAGTATCCAAGAAGAAGAAGAAGCAAAAACAGCCTCAGCGCTTTTAAATATACGTGTGCGTATTACTCGAAGAACACTCTTTCCGTCTTCTCAAACGTGAGAAAATGAAGGCACTATTAAAACTACTCAACGACAGAAGAAGAAGAAGGATCACCAGAGCGAGAGACGACACTCTGAAGAAGAAGAAGAAAAACAGAGGGGGAGAGTTTTTTTTTTGTGACGAGAGACGTTTGCATGCAAGAAGAGGTTTTTTGAAATTTTTTGAAAGAAGAGAGATCGAGAAAAGTCAGGGGGAGGGAGACTCAGCACACAGCACAAAATGGGGAAGTCCTTCTCAAACTCGCAAGAGACAAGAAAACGCCATATGGAAATTGATGAATTTTGAAAATACTTTATTATATACAACGTGACCGTGCTGCAATCTGTGCACGTTTTCTACTATTTATGTGTACATTTTATTATGAACTTGACTCTGATTTACCCCCTATTCACGACAATCTGAACGATCACCTTCTCGATGAGTCGGTTTCACTGTCCGAACTCAATCCAGCAAACGGTTTCCCGAAGTAGTAGTCTTCCAAGTTTTCTGCGGCAAGCGGGTCCGTACCAACGAGAAAGCGAGCAAGCATCGGAGAAGTTGGACGATGCACGGAACCTTCCTCGTTAATTGAATCTATCGCGGGAATATATCGATTGTTCTTCTTCTCCAACGCAGCAGGATTCATGATCGCGTCCGTGCCTTTACCTTGCTCTGGGCTTTCCTGCTTTTCTCGATCCAGTACCTTTTTAAAGAAATCATTGTACTGGTTTACAGTTCCATCTCCGCCGATTGTTTTACTCGACACGTTGGCACCATCGTCCGATATAACTTCATCCTCATCGTGATCGCCCGCATCCATAGCAACCGAAATAACGCCACATAAAACAAAAAGAACGCCGAAACCAGAACCAAAGGTAATTATATCTCCAAGAGCAATCCAGCCTATTAATGAGCCCAAAACGACCGACCCGCCTACAACGGTCGAAGTCGAAATGGAGACGGGAACGCCGAGAGATGAGACGTAAAAACTCAATATTTCCGCAGTCCCAACCGAAAAGCCGGCCATACACGCCCAGAAAATACCTTTTATGTCGTAATGTAAGATCTCAGAAAAACCGGCGCGAAGAAGAATGCCCAGAAAAGATGAACCCAGAATCATGGCAACGATTTGCAAAATGACCCCGCCAAGAACAGGATTCATAGTATCCGATCCATGTTTTATGAAAACATTATACAAAGCGTACGCCATCGCACAAGCAATCGCCGGTCCTATCCAATCAACCAATTCTAATTCTACCGTCTCGTTTGCGGCAAGAGAGGAACTGCCGAAGCCCAACAATGCCGCAATTGTCACGCTGCCACCTTCCGTTCCAGTAACAGACGAGGCGACGCTACTAATACCTGCTACGATGACAGGAACGCCTAGCATCGCTTTCAAACCGAAACTTTCATTCAAGAACGAGACGCCGAGGATGACGTCAAACACTACGGACCCTCCGATGATTACAGGTATCGATTGAGACGCTGAGACGCCTAAAGACGAGACATAAAAGCTCAACATTTCAGCCGTCCCCACGGCGAGACCCGCTCCGCAGCACCATATAATACCAACTCTGTCAGACTCTTTCAACTCTTGCCAGACGTTATACTCGCTTTTCCTCCGATCGAATACTAAGAGACCGACACCTAATAAGCACGCAACGAATTGTAAAATAACTCCTCCCAACACCGGTGAAATCGAGTAGCTTCCCAGTTTGATAAATACGTTGTACAACGCGTACGATGTGGCACACAAAGCTCCTGGGATCCCCCAGACGAAGATGTGTGGCGCACAGTGTGGCGCACACTGTCTTTCCTGTTTGTCTTCTCCTACTTTCTCCAGAAGCGTATCGGCGTTTGACAATCTATCGTTTCCCTTCACCGACACCGATATCGAACTGATTGTCGAACTCGCCGAGGACGCAATCGACAATCCTTCTTCGCTGCTTCGGCCTCGTCTGCGCATCGCGCTTCGACGTCTGGCCAAATCCGAAAACGATTCGTTGTTCTGACTTCTTCTTCTCCTCCCCAAACCGGATTCTAAATCTTCTTCCTCCAAGTCTTCTTCTCCATCGCCCGCGACAAAACTTCCCCCAAAGCCGCTCAGAGAGTGAATAGAACCAAATCTTCCGCCAACTTTCAACGAGCGCACAGAAGGCGTCACCACGCTTCCCAAATCTGAACTTCCCGTACTTCCCGCTTTAATTGATGAGGAGGAGAACTCGTTGGAATCCTGCCTCGCGAAAAGAGAAGGACGACGACGACGAGTGACGCTCTCCTCCTCATCGGTCGCGCCGTAATTCACTTCGCTTCCGCTCATGCTGATATTATCGGTGGTATCGTCATTATTAGTATCGTCGTCGCTTCTTCGTATTCTCCGTCCGGGGTGTGTTTGTTAGGGAGTCCCCTCAACAAAAGACTCGCGTGAAAAAAAGAAGAAGAAGTTTTTTAATTCCCGAAAAGTCACGCTGATATGGATGACTCTCCAGTCGCCGTTTCGTCGCGCGATTGAAATGTACTACTTTTTACGCGTTGTACCGATAGGTAGAGTTGATGTGTGCGTGAGTGCTGTATCGCGCGTGTCTCGACTCTCGCGCGCTTTCCTAGATATTTGCTCGCACAAAGTGATGCTCTTTTTCTTAAAAATCTGCCACCACCACCACTCCTAAGCGTGGCATATCAAAATTTTTAGTGTTACCAAGAAAAAGAGACTTTTGAGAGAAAAAAGGTTCGCAAAAATCATCGTCGTCGTCTCATCACAAAGACAAACACGCAGAAGAAACGCAAAGAGCAACTTAAGTTGACGACGACGACGAGAAAAAACGCTCTCTTTTGTATCTCTCTATTTTTAACCTCCTCTGTTGTATTCTCTTTTGGCCAGTCAGTCGCTCGCGAAAGAATCTCTTTCTGAGAAGAAGAAGAAGAAGAAGAAGTAGAGCCGTTGACGAGCAACTCATATGAGAACGAGCCGTGATGTGTACTACTAAAATGGTGTTGAAAATTGGAGATTGATGGCAACAACAACAACAACAACAACAATAACGTACCGCTGATACACCGAGGATACCATCGATACGCACGATATTTTGCTTTTTAAAAGAAAGAGCTGAAGCTGTCGTCATGACGTACGTCAAAGGGACGTTCTACGCGTTCATCACCGCGATATTATACGCCTTGGTTTCCATTTTCAGTAAAGTGTTGGACGAGAGGCACAGATCGATATATTTCGCGCTTCTGTCCGCGTACGTCATGCTTTGGATCGTGTTTGCGCCTTTGCAGGTGATAGAGCGACATCAAGAAGGAGGAGAGGAAGTCGGAGGAGAGGAAAAAGTAAACAAAATCGGAAAAATGACGAGCGATAAAGTTATTCGTTACGACCAGTCCGAAGGCGTGGAGAAGAAGCTTCGCAGGCATAAGATGTACGACAGTTATGCGTTTCTTCCCGGCTTGGTCGGAGGAAACCGAGAACACATGGAAAGTATTACTACTACTACTACTACTACTTCTCCTCCTTCTTCTTCTTCTTTCGCCGTCGTCGGCGTCGTCGCTGACGTTGAAAAAGGCGAAAAAGATCCAAAAAAGTTCAGCAGACTCTGTTGCCGGCCAAACGAGAAAACGCTCGCTCTCATCATGATGGTGGTTTTTGATTTTATAGGGAATTATTCGGCGATTCTTTGCTTCAAATTTACTTCAGTAACGTCGGGAACGATTATTCAAACAGCCACGGTGCCCATCTCGTGTACTCTCGGGTTTCTCTTCATGAATCGGAGGTATTCTAGGCGGCACGTAGTGGGCGCTTTCGTGTCCATGGCGGCTCTCCTCTTCCTCATCGTCTGCGACAGTTTAGAGGTAAATGAAGAGGGTAACAACGTACCGCATCCGGACAAAAATCCGAGACTTGGAGATGCGCTCGCGTTTTTCGCCGCCATCTGCTTTTCGGCGACGAATATTTTGCAGGAATATTCAATCGATAGCGGAGTGTACCAAAACGAAATTTTGGCCGCGTTTGGATTTTACGGCACTCTTTTCGCGATAGTAGCGATTTTCGCGGAGCACAAGTGGAACTTCGAACTTTTGATGAACTTCTTCGCTAGAATAGAGCACCACGACGTTATGATATACATATTGACTTCGGTGACGTTGTTCGCTTCCTTTGCGAGTGCATACAGAGCTTTAAAATACGTCGACGCTGGCACGTTCAACGTTGTTTTATTACAACAGAGTCTATTAGTCGGCATGGTGCGCTTCTTCGGCTTCGAGGGTGGATTCAGTTCTACCACGCAGGCTGTGGTTTTTGTTGGCACGTTCACGGTACAAGCGATTGGTATACTCGTCTACGCAACTGCCGGGGACGTCAAGCACCGCGAGGAAACCTCGGGAAGCGAGAGCGAGAAACGATCGATTTTATTAGCGCCGGCGAAACAATAGACAAATTTAGTCACACTAGACAGATTTTGATAGACTGATAAATAGGAGAGAAACGTGCGTGTTGTAAAACAAAACAGCAAAAAAGAAAAAAAAGGAGATAAAAAATTCATGCATCATTTTTCCTTTCTATCGTCTCACCTTTGTACGGACTGACTGACACACACTACCGACAAAACGTGTTTAGATGATGACGATGTTTCTTCGAAGAAGAGTATTCATTAGTAAAGGAGGGAGAGCAGCAGCAGACGCTTCTTTTTTGTCTTCTTCTTCTTTGTCTTCTTCTTCTTTGTCGTCGTCGTCTGAATCGTTCGTTTCGTCGAGGAGATCGATCGGGACGACGACGAAATTCATCAGCGGAACGACCACCAAAACGACTTCTTCTTCTTCTTCTTTGGCTTCACGAGAGGTTGGGAAAGATGAGAATACTAACAATAATAATAAAGAGAGAGACGAAAACGAGAGACTAAACGCGACGACGATTCAGACGACGACGGGGAAAACGAATTTGACGACGAAAACGAACGGGCGAAGATCGACGTCGAACTATCGAAGGGAGATTCAGAAGCGTTTGATGGAAGCGACGAGCAAAACGATGAAGAAAACGAACGAATCGGCGAGTTGGAAACGAACGTTACGGCTCAAACGTGAGGAGAAAATGGACAATCGAGAGTGTTGGACGGTGAAAGAGTTCATCGAAAAGAACTGTTTGTCGTCGGCGGCGGCGGCGTATTCGGCGTCCGACACAGACGAAGACGAGATGGAAGCAGACGACGACGACTTTACGATGACGATGATGGAAGCGGAGGACATAGAAGAGGAGGCGGTTTTGGCGATGCTCAGGAAGAGCGCTCGAGCGGCCGCGCTCGCCGAACGCAGGGAAGAAGAGAGTTTAAAAGACGGAGACGATGATTCAGATAATTCGGATTTAGCCGCCTATTACAACTACGTAAACGCGGTCAAAAATTCCAAAGACGACGGCTTTTCAAACGTTCACTACTACTCGGACGCGGACGAAGACGAAATCGAAGCCAAACTCGAGTCCATTCAAGGCTTGTTGGACGCTTTGCGCGAAGAAGAAGGCAAAGAAGAAGAAGAAGAAAGGACGACGACAAACAACAACAACTCAAAAGCGAGAGCAAACAAATTGGAATCGTTACAAACGATCATGGACCAAGTGTACTCGTTTCGTGAGCAGCAGCAACAACTCGCGTTGTTGCCGGAAATCGTCGTTGGAAGAACGAGCAAAAGCGAGGATTTAGACGCCAACGACCTAGACGGAAATGACGACGAAAACGCGCGGGGAAGTGTAAATGGTGGTGGTACTATCTTCCGAGCCGACAGCGTGAAACGAAAGAGGAAGAAAGCCATGAACAAGCACAAGCACAGGAAGAGGAAGAAGAAGGACAGGTTTAAGAACAAATAATAATAATATTATTATAATAGATTTACTAGTTCATAGTCAAAGGAGTCTGTAAAGATAGATTTTGTGTATAAAAGAGAGACCTTTTTCCTCCTTAAAAATAATGTCTCGTTTTCCTTCTTCATTATAAAAAGAATGTCTGCCGCTCTCTCTGCAAGACGCTATGTTGCGCGACATTTTTTAAGGAGTAATGGTATTATAAGTAGTAGTTTAAGTAGTTTAAGTAGTTTAAGTAGCAATAGTTTAAGTAGGTTTAGCACCAGCGGCAGTTTTCCTTCTTCGACGTCTTCTTCTTCTTCTTCTGAGTCATCATCATCATCATCATCACCGGAAGAGGACGACACGAACAACAACAACAACAACAACAACAACAACAAGGACGACGACGACGATAAAGAGAAGAATGTCACTGACAAAACGTTATTGTCCTCGTTCTTCGCTCTCGTCCACAAGAAACACCCGAAAGACGTCCCAAACGATACGGAGAAATTGCAAAAGCACTTCCCATCGCTCGGGATGACAGAGTTTCAATCGAAAATGAACGGCCAGTTTGGAAAGAAAATCGGAATGAGCGTGAAAGAGAGGAAACGCATCGCGCAATACTTGAACAAATTCAAAAACGGATTGCTTAAGATTTAATCATCGATTAAGAGATCATCTCTCGTCGATCACATCTCTCGATCACGAAACGAATACTATATGCGCTGCTAATACTAGTATTATTCTACTACGTGCTACACCTGCTACTCCTTTGATGAAGAAAACATCGAAGAAAACATCCTCCCGAATTGGTCCTTCACCTGTTCCACTCTCTGGTCCACGCGCGTTTTCACCGTCGCTTTCTCCTTCTCCCACACGTCTTCCTCCATTTCCGAAACTTTACGCTCGATGACGTTCAAAGTCTCCCTGGCGGAATCGATGAACGCGAAATCTTGTTCCAAACGAGCGGTTAACTTTGAGAGATCAATCTCCATTTGATTACGTCGCACATCGCGACTTTGAAGAACATTTTCATCATCATCACTCGTCTCATCATTTTCATTTTCATTTTCATTTTCATCATCACTCACGCCGAAACTTTCTTGTTCATGTTCATGTTCTTTGCTCTTCTTCTTCTTCTTCTTCTTCTCCGAGAAGAACACGCTGTCCTCCCTCTTCGTGCTCGTGATGCTCTTTTCCCTCTTCACGTTTTGGCGTTTCAAAAACAGTTTCACCTCCTCTAACTGTGCGATCGTGACCAGCGCGTATTCCTTCACCTCTTCCAAGTGCTCTTCGAAGAAGTCCAAGGACGGGTGTATTCGGTTGGCGATTTCCACGGAAAGCATTCGCGCGTGTTGAGATACCGCGTCGTCTTTATTCTCAAAATCGTCGTTCTCAAAGTCATATTTGTCGTCTGGAAAAGGAGACATAATAGCGCGCTTTGAGTAATGAAGTAAACGCGACACAAATTTTGTAACGAACACAACAACTGAAGAAGTGTTTAATAATAATGAACGACGAATCACAAGAAGAAGAAGAGTACGATTCCGAGACAACAGACGACGAGACCTACGACGGGGAAGGAGACGAAGACCGTCTCTCCGACGATCAGTTCGTGAACGAATCCTCCGACGAAGGCGTCGGAGGCATAGAAAACGATTACGATTCGGACGGGAATGTAATCGATGATGATGATGATGATGATGATGATGATTACGACGAAGATGACGACGCGATGATGGGTCACGCGGGAGGACAAGGATTTCACCCTTTGTTACACGCGCACCCGATGTTTCAGCAGGCGTTGTTACACTCGCTCGCGCAAGAAGAAGAAAATACCGGAGAGGTGCCTCACCCCAACGCGGTGGCGCAAATAATACAGGATATGCAACAGCACTTTCTCCAACATCATCAGCATCAGCATCAGCATCACGATATTCCTGAGGATCAGTACGATATGATGATGTTTAATAGTGGAGGAGGAGGCGCGTATTCGACGAGCGGTTCGTCGTTCGTCTCGTCGGAGGAGGAGGACGACTCGTTTTTCCGCGACACGGAGGACGAGGAGTCCGCGGAGTCTGAGTCTGAGTCGTCTTCGGAGGAAGAGGAGGAAGGAAAGCGAGAAGGAAGAGACGCTGCTGAACGACGCGAACATCCGCACTCGTCGAGGATTTCGGAAAGAATCAGAGTGAGAGACGAATGGGAGGAGGACGCGACGAGGAGAACGGGAAGGAGCGGCGGCGCGCGAGGTGAAAACAACAACACGAGGAAAAGGAAGAACGAGATGGTAGAAGAGGAGAAAATAAAAGTGGACGGGGAAGACGACGACGAGGACGACGACGACGATGAGGAAGAGGACAGGGATTTTGATCCGGACGAGAGCGAAACTTCTTCTTCCGGGCCGAGCGTCGTGGAAGACGACGGCGACGACGCGGAGGGTAAAACTAAAAATAACAAGCTCAAACACCACAACTACGACACGTTAACCTACGACCACGACCATCTAAAGTACACCGAAAAGCATGGATGCAGAATAGTGCGAAGGGTCGTGGATACGCTCATGGCAGGCGGTAAAATTGCAACCGCAATGGTGCATAAGCAAGGCGCAGACGCGGTCTGTCCAATGCCTATGAGTTGCGCGGATCCGGATCTGAAATCCAACGCCTTGCCGTACGCCAGCGAGGTGTTGTTGTTGGGCACGAATAAAGTAAGAGCGTTGAAAGCCATCGGGGATAAGAAAAGATGCACGAAAACCGCTTTAGATGAAACGGGTAAGTTACCGTTTAAGATTTACAGCGCATCGGTCTGTCCGGAGATGAAAATGATTGCCATTTGCGGCGTCCACGATCACGGCACGAGAGGCGGATTATCTGAAGGGTCCGCAAACGTCGCCATATTTTCCCTCAACCCAGAAGATACAAGATATGGCAATAGTATCCTCCCCGACGGTCCGCGAAGTGCTCAGCCGCAAGAGCGGTTCAAGTTCCTCGGGATTGAAAATATCGGGTTTCCCCACGACGAAAGAATAACCCACGATGGACGATTAATCGATCCCGTGTTAGATTCAAATTCCTCCGAGGTTGCCGAACAGGCGAATTGCATTCGTTGGGGCACGCACACGAGATTAAAAGAGGAATACATAGAAGAATACGAAAAGAGGAAAGCGAAAGCCTTGACGAAAGAGAGTAACAAGGCAAAGAGAAATCAACCGTCGGCCTCGTCCTCGTTCGACGAAGCGCAATTTAGAAAAGAGTACATCGAAGAAGCGAAGAACCATTTCGAGACGAAACGCGTGTTACTTTTATCCAGTAACGATGGTCACGTTTACATCTTAGCAGTTGAAAAATTCGACGCGAAGACGCTAATGGAAAAGGCCGAAAAGAAAGAGAAGCGCCTCGATCAACTCAACGCGATTGATGGTTCAGGGTTTAGTAGTCTGTCCAGATTAGAGCTGTTCAGACTAAATGAGACGCACAAGATTATAAAATTGGACGCAATTTTTGTAGGCGCACCAGTGAACTGCGCTGTATCGCACCCGAGCGGGAAATATTTAGCCGTCGCCACGGATTCGACGATTATCCCAGTCATCGGAAACGAAATTTTTGGCTACTTGTCGTCGTTCGATTCGATCAAGGAGACGATTGATAGTTTACGCGGGTGCGAGCTCGTCCACGGATTTGAGCTATCGTTCAAAAGAGGACAAAAAGTGGTCGGGTTCGAAAATGTAACTCATACCTACGACAACGGATCTTGGCTGGATCAAAATAATGCGACGTCTTGGAGAGAACGTAGCGGTGACGACGAATTCCGTTTAAACAGAATGGACGTGGTGACAAATCCATTCTCGGAACTGGCGTATCATCACACGCCGCTCGTGTTCAGACCCGAGGATTTATCGGAAACCGGACAGAACAATATCCCGATATTTAATCAGGAAGGCTTGAAAAACTGGCCCGCTAATGCTCTCCTCAGAACGTCGTGTCAATATTTAGCGTTCTCCCCAAACGGTAAGTATCTCGCCGCGACATCGGATAATCGGAAAAGTTTATCCGTTTGGCGGGTCGAACAACCTTCAGACGTTTTTGAATTAGAATGCTTCGATTATCCGACGGAAACGAGACCGTTTCGAGTCATGCACGCGCTCATGATCAATCCGCTTGTGAAGTTTAACGGCTTTCACTTGCCTTTGTTGCCTCTAGCGTTTGCGCCATCCAACGATGATATCTTGATGGTTGCGGAACGAGGAAATAAACAGTTTGGCACTTCCGGCGCGCACGTCATCGACTTGTCAAAGTTCGAAAAGTTTGGCGGCTACATCCACGGCAGACGGAAGGCTTTTGAGCAGAACGTGAGAGAAACAATTGAGAAGAACGCCGGTAAGGACATCCACGAATGCCGAGCTTTCTACAAATCAAACGGTGAAAAGCTTCTGAACAGCGTCGAGCCGGATCCGAATTGGTATCGTCAACTGTACGAGCGAGTAGTTGTTACCACCTTTCACAAGCCTTTAAGTGTTTACCCTAGAATACCTGTGGCTGCACCATTGAATTCAATGAAGCTGAAACCAAACTGGACGCTCGGTTTGAGCATTTACGAACCTTACGAACGAAAAGAGCTTGACCACAACAAAAACATGAGTCGAAAACTGTTGCCGATAGATTGGACATCTCAAACGCGCTTGATGTTTTACGAAATTGCCATCCCAAACTCAACGTTCATTGGGATGAAAAACTGCAGCGAAGGTTCCGTGATAGGAGTGGATCAAATTGACATCATGCACGTCAACTTTGGTCCCGATGCTGGCCATGCTTGTGGATCTTCCCTGGACGATCCCGCGCAAAACTATTTCAATTTGAAGAGTTGCATGCAAACCATCTCGGAACCGTTCGAGAGAAACTACATCACCGGACTTTCTGCCGTCGGTCCACCTCCAGGGTCGACTTTCAACAACACGTATCCAGACATCTTTTATGTCACTACACCGACGACGTTGGAGATCTTTCGATTCGAACGCGGGTGGTCTCCGATGACTGTCTTTCGCAGTTCCAATCGACGGTTGAAATTCTATTCCGGTCGCACGCGCAAAATGCAATGGCACAACTCCATGTTCTCCACGGACTTTCGAGACGCGGCGTTGACGCTGCTGTTATGCGCTCACAGAATTCAGAAAACAAATGCGAATAAGAAACGTCGGCCGAGAGAGGAGACGACTTTAGGCGACTTGACGAACGATTGCGTGTTGAAGATTATCGAAAAGTTGGCTTTGCCAGCGAGCGATTGGATCGATCGAGACCACGATATGTACGTGGAAGCAGAAACGATAGTGTTGTCAGACGGAAAAGGCGAAGCGGAGAAGATAGATTTATACTAAAACCTGTGAAAGAACAGGAAAAGAGAGAGAGACCAACACAATTTTGTAATACACGCATCAAATCACATTTGTGAACGTAACCACGCCAATCGCACCAACCGCGACGATGTACGTGAGAACAAACATCCAAGCTAGCATTAATTCTGCCGAAGAGGAAACTCCGTCGCTCTTATTGACTACCATTTTCATCGACACTCTCGCGACAAGGTAATAGATCATCGCCGCGCCTATAGCGGCAAAGAATGCCGCGTTCATCGTTTGATTTCGAGGCACCTCCATGTTGTAATCGCCCCTTTTGTAAAACGGTAAAACTAAACAGAAAGGCATGCCAATGTTGAACAAGGTATCAAAGAGCGCGACGCGGAATATTGCGTCGCTCCCGGGCGTTGTGGCGGTTTCTTTCGCTTCGATTGCGTCTAAAAAATACGAGCCGTGCACGTCCGCGCTTTGCGAAAGCAAGAACGAGAGCACGACGCTTCCAATGAAACTCTCAAACGACCCTTTACTGATGTTGTTCTTGTTGATTAGTTCACCATTACCACCACCACCGCCAAAAATCGACGGAATTTGCTCGTTGTACTCTTGAACGTAGATGTTGCACAAGTGCGTGACAAACTCAACCGCGGCGTACGACAAAATAGCGAGCCACGTCGTTCCGCACGCGATCGACAACACTCTTCGCTTGCACTTTTTTCGCTCAATTTTGACACATATGTCCGTCACGGAATCGTAGGAGGAGTCAGAGAGCCAATCGGAATTGCTGTCGTCGCCGTCGTCGAAGTAAAAACTTGGTAGCGCATTTGTTGTATTATTATCGTTCTCGGTTTTGATGTTGCTCATTTCGTTGGCGCGTAACTTGCGCTCCGGACAGGACGGAATAGTCAAATTGAAGAGAAACACCCACGGTTTCGAGAGTGCGCGTTCGATTTTCAACAATTTCTTTTTCGCGAACGAGAGCTCGACAAAAGAGCTTCTCGGTGGAGGTAATGTTGGCTCTTCTTTCTCTTCGCGTCTGACTTCCTGTTCGTTACGCATTACCTCGTCCTCGTCGTTCTCGTCGTCGTCGACGACGACGACTTTCGGAGTGTTGACTTCTGCTTTTTCTGCATCTCTCGCTTCCTCCTCCTCCTCCTCCTCCTCCTCCTCCTTCTTCTTCTCTCTTTCTTCGTCTTCATGTTCTTCGTGTTCTTCTTTTTGCTCTCTTTCTTCGATATCGTTCACGATCGATATTGATGCCTTCTTCGACGGCGGCGAGGATACTCGAACGGCATCGTTTTCTCCTCTCTCGGCGACGAGTATCGGCGGCGGAGGTTCTAAGGAAACCGAGGACGAGGCAATTCTCATCGTCTCGGTCGACCTGGGAGGAGAAGCGGGAGTGCAAACGCCTTTCGATGACGCGGGTATCGCGACCGAGGAGAAGGAGGACGACGACGACGAAGATAATGACGAAGGTGCCTCCGTCTTACTCAACTTGCCTTTTTTCACCGACGACGTTTTCTTTTCGTTCTTTTCCTTCTTCTTCTGTGCACACTCCGCTCGCTTTTCTTCTCTACCTTTCTTCCATCGAATGTGATACGTGCCAAAGAGGACCCAAATCCGGCGAAAGACGACGTAAGTGGCGTAGATTTCACCCATCCACACGCCGCATCGCCATCCGAGTGAGTAGACGTTCGTATTCTTCGCGAGAACGAACCGAGTGATATCATCGTCTTCGGCGGCGGTGGCGGTGGCATTCGCGCTGTTCACTTCGTCGTCATCAATAATAAACATCGCGTCTCTGGCGACAAAGAGCGCGAGCGCGAGCATGGCGAAAACGTAAAAGCAAAAATCTCTCGTCAAATTCGACATCGAATACTGCGACGATACGGATTCCGAGGACCACAACAACACCACTTTGCCTTTATCGACATCGTCGTCGTCGCCGCCGCCGCCGCCGCTGCTGCTCCTACTCTTTTTCTTCGTTTCCCTTTCTTTTCTCTTCTTCAAAAGCATCATCGCGGGGACGATGGTAAAGTTGTACAATCCGATGCCGAAAACCATCGAAACGCCTACGTACGGATACCCTCGAAACGTCGAAGGATTCGCAAAGGAAAACAAAACCGAAAAGAATAAAATCAAGGACACACGAGAGCAGCTGTTCGCTTTCTCGTGCGGTAAATACTGCTCTTCCTCGTATTTCTGCACGTCTATCTCTTGTTCTGGTCCGTCGAAAATCCACGAATCGTTGACTTTCCTCGGCAACCAAAACGTCAAATCGAACGCGACGGCGTCCAAGGCTTTTTTTAGAAACGCGTCGTTTTCTTTCTGACCGCCGCTTCCACAAAGAACGCGGAAACCGAGAAGTGTGTACACGAGTGCGAGGAGATAGAGCAACCATCCACAGTGTTTTGCAATCCACTCCGGGTAAGACGGAAGCGTAACATCACCGTCGTCGTCGTCCATGATGCCCATCATCGCTCTTCTTCCGTGGACGACGTTGCCGTCTTGGTCTATTTTTCGACCAAACTCATCGACGCCGGTGTGCCTTTTCGACCTTTGATCTCGCAACGCGCTCTTCCCAATCGTCACGGCGAGTAATATCAAGACAATCACGCACGCGAGACAGACGCACTGCTTGCACGAGACGCAATTGAAAAACATTTCCATCCACGTCGGTTTCGATTTTTGACCACCCCGACCCCGGCGTCGTCTATAAATAGAATCGTCGTCGTCTGAATCGTCGCAGAAGTAACCAACGTCTCGGTCATCCTCCTCTTTTTCCTCGGCGTCAAAATTCTTCCCCGTTTTGCCATCTTGGACGTCGTCGTCGTTTTGAGTACCTCCTTCTCCGCCTCCTCTTGGACAGGATGAGATCGACGACGACGACGCCTTTACTCCCATCGCGTGCAAAAAATGAAGAAAATTTTCATTTTTTTTTTTCGTTCAATTCAACACTTCGAGACGACGACGACGAAACATGTTTTAATAGTATCTCTCGTCATCATCATCATCATCATCTCAAACGAACGGGTTCACGAACTGTCTTTTCAACTTTCCGGTCTCTTCGCACCTGAAATGTTTCGCCACGACCGTCACGCGGTCGTCTACGATGTATTTCTTCGTCGTATCATCGCGAGTATTCGGAGTCTTCGTAGGAGTATCGTCTTCGCGCGGTTTCATCGTCTCGACGAAAACGCACGCGGTATTTTCCTTCACGCGTAAAGGCACTCGCTCGAGTATTTTTTGCATCTCGCGAGCATCCACGGACAGTGTAATACCATTGTCGCTGTTTCCTTTTTGCTCGCACGTAAACCGTTCTTCCTTGAGCGTAAACACCATCGTTTTTAGTGCTTCTTCTTCGTCTTTGTCTTCTTCGTTGTTATCATCATTCTCTTTGTCGTTCGTTCTACCGAGTCGCGAGCGAACGAGCGCGTTCGAAATATCGAACGCGTACGACAGTCGCACGACGAATTCGTCTTCCTCCTCTTTCTCATCTTCATCTTCTTCTACCGATGATGATGATGGTGTTCCCGTCCTGTCTGTGACGAACGCGTCGTCGACATCATCGCGCGATGATGATGATGATTTTGAGAAAACGCACACCCCGAGGGAAACCTCGAATCCAGATTCCAAAAACGCTTCTTCTTCTTCTTCTTCTTCTTCTGATGATGATGACGATGTTTCCTCTTCAAATATTTTCAGAGACGCGATAGAAATTCGTCTTCTTTTTCTTCTTCTTCTTCTTCTCATCGTTTACGTCGTCAAAGGAGAATGTGTGTGTTGTGTAGATGTGTGTGTAAAAGAGAGTACGTACGAGAGAGAAAGTGGAGAGAGAAAAGACTTTCGAAAATCAGTTGGTGGAGCGCTCCTCCTTTTTTTGGGTTTTTTTGGTTCCTTTTGCCCAAAAGTTTTTTTTTTTAAATAAATCAGTTGTTTCTTTTTCGCTCGTCGTTTGTGTCTTTTTCGCGTTGTTGTTCGATGTTTTCGTTAAAAGTCGTTGCAAGTGGAGAGAAAAAAGTGCCTCAAACGCAGAGAAGCAAACGCAACGCGCTCGTTGAGCTTTTAAGCAGCGAGAGCAACACATCGAAGGGTGAATAACAACGCGACAAAAACGAATACACGCTCGCGCTCTCTCTCTCTTCTTTTTCATCGTTTTGTCGTTTCGCTCAATCTTTTAGACGACGACGACGCGTTCTTTTCTTTTCGCATTCCAAAGACACGACGACGACAACGACTTTTAGTGTCGGGTGAAACACGAACGACGACGACACCACGGAAGAGGAGTCGTACTCAAACGCACGCAAAAACGTAAAGAGAGAGAGAGAGTAAACCAAGAACGACGACTTTATACTCGCAACAACACTTTTCGCTCTGAGCACAAGTACTGCTGTTATGGATATCCAACCGTGGTCGCTCCACCAGTTGGATCAGTTGGACGAGGATAAAGACTCGTCGACGGTTTTAGGGATAATCGAACGCGCGCAACGCGAGCGAGACATTTTAAATAGTATCGAAGGAGGAAGGGCGAATCAAAACAATAATACCGGTGGGGGGACTTTCACGACGTTAACGACGACGACGACGCAACCGTTTCGACGGACGTCGTTCTTACCGAAAATTACGTACGCGAGGTGCGTGAGAGGCGGAGGGCGATACACGAAGAACGTGAGGAGGTTCGGGTCGTTCGATAACTTGTTAGTCCCGAACCCGGAGGACGACGGGCTGTCCTCGTCGATTAGTTTGAACGAATTAGCACAAAATAATAACGGAGGAGGAGGGTTGCGAAGGTCTGCCTCGAATCAAGATATCAGCATGAATACGTTTAACAATAATAACAACGCCAAAGGCGATTCGGATTCAGAGTACGGAGAAGTGACGACGAGCGCTTTCAATGCCGCCGCCACGGGAGCGCCCGATGATCAACAAAGAGACGACGGCGGTGGCGGACCGCCCGTATTCAAAACAACAACAACGACAACAGCGAATAGAATCAACAATTATAACGCGTCAGCCACGAAATCGAATTCCGGCGCGTCTGGGAACGGGACAGGGTACGTTCAAGACGCCTCGGATTTTGACCGGGTTTTAATTGAAGCGTGGGAAGATCGGTTTGCGGGAGGGTTATTTCGATACGACGTCACCGCCGTACTCACGCGACTCATCGAAGGCCCGTCTCGATATGTCGCGCAATACAACGAAGGGAGAGCGACGAAGAAACGACAAACGGAGTTCAAAATGGATCTCGTGTGTCAAGAATTCGATGGGAAAAAGTTCAATTTTACCAAAGCCGATCAAAAAGAAGTGCTGTTTACTTTTGAGGAACAAGACGAAGACGAGGAAGAAAACGAGAACGAGGAACCGGGACGAACGGAGTTTATCGAGCGAGGTGAAATCAGTAAATCGCCAAATTTAGTCCTGATCAACGTCTCTCCGATCGAGTACGGACACGTTTTGTTGTGCCCCAGAGTCTCCGAGATGCTTCCGCAACAGATTTTCGCGGATGCTTTGATTCCTCCTCTGCGAATGTGCGCGGAGAGTAAAAATCCGTACTTTCGAGTCGGATATAACTCTTTAGGTGCGTATGCAACCATCAACCACCTCCATTTCCAAGCGTACTATTTGATGGAGGCCTTCCCGATCGAACGCGCGTTATCCAAACCGTTCGCCGAGGATGTGTTCAAAAACCCAAAACGACCGATGGGTAAACAAGTCCACGCGGAGTGTTTACGCGTGTACGATTACCCGGTGAGATGCATCGTCTTTGAACTCGGAAGTAAAGGCTTCGTGGATTTAGCGAAGTGGATCGGAAGAGCCTGCAGTCGTTTGCAGAAGAGAAACATCCCGTTTAATTTGTTAATGACCGATCACGGCGCGAGAGTGTTTTTAATTCCGCAAATCTTCTCGCACAAGATTGCGCAAAACAAAATTCCAGAATGGATCGTTGATACTGGAATTAACCCGGCGGTGTTTGAAATCTCCGGACACATGCTCTTCAAACGCGAGGAAGATTACGAAATCTGCTCCGAGGCGATGGCGTCGGAAATATTAGCGAGCGCGAGTATTGAAGAGGATGAATTTTGCGATTTAATGCGAGAGGTTTTAGATCGCGAGAGAATCGAGGAAGGAGAAGAAGAAAGCAACGAAGATGGCGACGACAACAACGAAAACAAAAACAAGGCGCGGAGGAGCGAAGAGGAAGGGAGTGCGCAGATGACGGTGAAACTGTAAAACAGACAGTATAATATATGAATACTACTAGGTACCTTTGTTGTAATTTTGAACCATCGTGTTATACTACTAACTATGTTAAAACCAATTTTGAATCTCGCGTTTGATTAAATTAAAAGAACAGAAAACGGTTACGTTTCTTTCTTTGCTTCACGTCGTACCCGACGGCTTCGTTGACGTTCTTAAAACCTTCCCTCTTCAACGCTTCGTATAGCTCTCTTTTTACTTTCGGAATCAACGCCGGTCCGGCGTACGCAAACGACGTGTACAATTGCACCAAACTTGCGCCGGCTTTGATCTTCTTCAAAGCGTCTTCACCGGTAAACACGCCGCCGCACCCGACCAACGGAATCGAACCGTCGGTTAATTCGTAAAATCGACGCAACACCTCCGTCGATTTCTCAAACACCGGTTTTCCACTCAAACCGCCGATTTCCTTACCGTTTTCGTGTTGTTGCACCCGATCGTTCCTTTCAATCGTCGTGTTGGAGATGATGACGCCGTCGATTTTAGCTTTCTTTACCGCTTTCGCGATTTCTTTCAATCCTTTCTCGTCCACGTCCGGAGCGATTTTGACCAACACCGGCAAAGATTTTTTCTTCTCCTCTTTCACCAACAACCGATCGCGAGCGTTCACGACGTCTCGTAAAATCTTCACCAAAGACGAACCTTTCTGCAAATCTCTCAACCCGGGCGTGTTTGGAGAGCTAACGTTGATGACGAGATAATCCGCAAATGGACCTAACTCTGTGGCGCCCAACGCGTAACTCTTCGCCGCTTCCGATTCCGGCGTCGTTTTGTTCTTACCAAGATTGACGCCAATCGGTGCTATAACATTTGTCGTCGTCGTCGTCGTCGATTCTTCTTTCTCTTCTGTTTTGTTATCTACTACTGTCGCTGCTACTCTATTCTTTTCTTTCTTTAACCTTTCTTTCGCTCGTTCTATGCCTTCGCTGTTAAATCCGTATCGATTAATCACCGCGTCCAACTCTCTCAATCGAAAGACTCTCGGTTTCGGATTTCCATCCTGAGGCTGCGGCGTCACCGAGCCGATTTCCACGAATCCAAACCCAATCTCGCGCATTCCTTGGATAGTTTTCGCGTCTTTATCGAAACCAGCGGCTAAGCCAATCGGGTTTGGAAACGTCATCAAACCATCGTTGAAAACATTCGTCACTCTCAACATCTCTCGCATTTCCGCGTACTCCCCCGACGCGTCTGCGTTATTTCTATCGTTATCTCGCTCTCGTCGTTCGATTGGATACAATCCGTTCGCGAACAACGAGACTCCTAAATTATGCGCGGATTCCGCGTCCATCAAACGACTAAAAACCGGCGCCAAAAACTCAAACGTCTTGAACTCGACGTCCGAGGCTAACGGCGAGTCCGCCGCGCGGAGCGACCCGTACCCGATGGACGCGAACAAGGACAACGCGCCAATCGTTTTCAGCAGAGAAGAAGAAGAAGAAGAAGATTGATTCGTAAGAGCAGGAGTAGGACTTTTGGATGCTGATGCTGATGCTGATGCTGATGACATTATTGGCGTTTTCGTCGTCTTTTGCGCAAAACCATTTTCACCAGCAGCAGCAGCAGGAGAAGAAGAAGAAGAAGATACATTTTGAGGCGGCGACGTAGTCCTCGCGGGCGCAGCAGGAGTCGGCGAAGACGACGACGATTCAGACGACGGGTTTATCGTGCTTCTCTTCAAACTCTTCCCGTGTTTATTCATCTTCTTTCCTCCTTTTCCTCCACCGGCAAAACTTCTCCTCTGATGACGACGATGAAACATCATCGTCTCTCCTTTCCCGTTTACGTTCACACCGGTGAAAAAGAAATCTTTTCTTTCGACTCTTTCTGCCAAAACTCTTCGAAAACGCAAAAAAGACTTCCCCGTTCGCGACGACATGTCGTCGCGATCGATGATTTTCGCAGGAGTAGCAGCGTGCGCTCGAGCAGAGTTTCTTCTTCTTCTTCTTTGTCTTCTTCTTCTTCTTCTTGCTTGCTTGCGGGTAAAAATGAATGAATGCGCAACGAGTGGTTTTTCTTTTTTTTCAAATTTGAAAATTTTGACGCAGAAAATCAAATCAAAACGCATCCGCCAGCAGAAATTTGCCAGCAGAAAAGGAGAGAACACAATCTATTTGGCAAAATTATACCACAAACCCACAACATACTTTTCAAACCCAACACTGAAACCCCTCGCCAAGAATACAAAAAAAATACAAAAAAACGTCCCTGCGCGCGCGCGATATATCATCCGTATACTTTCAGCTCCACGCAATAACGTCGGTACAATACAGCGAGTGAGTTGCCACCCGGGGACCCCTCGCATGTTAGAGTACTAAAAGCGACTTTCCACCGGGGGACGCAACATTTTTTTGCGCGCGTTATTAGGGGTTTTTGTTTTTTCAGTGGGTTTGAAAAGTATGTTGTGGGTTTGTGGTATAATTTTGCCGTAGTATTTTATTACGTCGTGTGCAAATGTTTGCACTTTCCTTTTTTCAAACAACCCTAAATTTGAGAGAGAAACCTTCTTCTGTTTCTTCTTCTTCTTCTCTCACGCGTGAAAACAATACACTCTCGTCCGCAGCAGTCGCACTCGCACTTCGCGCAAAAATCCTTTACCTTTGCGCGTTTATTTAAAATGTTTGAAGCCGCGACGAAGTCGTCGCCGGTTGTGTTCTCCTCGAAAACATCATCATCGTCAAAATCGTCCCTCTCGAAATCATCGTCGTCGACGTCGAGAAGGATCGTCCGAAGAGTTTCAGCGACAAATTCATCTTCCTCCTCCTCGGAAGAGAGATGGCAATCCATGAACGTTTCGTTACCAAACTTGAGAGACAATTTGGACCGCTCGACGACGCGGAACATCGACGGGAAAGTGTACACGTTGACGTTATCCGCGGAAGATTTACCGCTCGTTTCGGATAAGTTTTCTCAAAAGTACGACGCTCGAGTTTCGAAAGCTGGGATTATTGAAGCGAACTTAGCCGGGTCGGTGAAAGCGGCGGAGATGATATCCATCGGCGACGTGAACTTGGCGCTGGATATCACGAAGATTACAGGGATGAAAAAGTTTGTGGAAGTGATCAACGGACGCGCGGCGATGATTGGCATCACGGCGGCGTTGTTCGCGAAAATCGGCACGGGGCAAGGCGTCGCGGAGCAGTTGTTTTCGCCGGCGGGGATTTTCTCCGCGTTGTTCATCTCTTTATTCGCGATTGCCAGTTCGGTAGCGCCGGCGGCTTTGAATAAAGTGACCATGGACGAGTGCTTTCCGGACGAGAACAAAGTGTACGAGAACGAGAGATTACCGGTGACTTGGACGGCGGCGGCCGAAGCCGTGAACGGCAAGGTCGCCATGGGGGTGTTTTTAGTCGCGTTGTTGACTGGTCAATAACAGGTCAATCGATCAAAGGAGAAAAATCATCTCGACGACGATGAGCGTGACGAGTTTGACGACGACGACGATTCATCATCATCCTTTAACACCATCTCTCGTCATCGGAGAGAAAAAAAATATGCCCGCCGCCGCTTGAATATTACGATACCAATAATATACAACTCCAAAAGCTTTTACTACTATTTTAAAACTGCTACTCTACGCGCCGCTTTCGTGCGTTTTTTTCTAAAGCATCTCTCCGCACCGAACAATTCGCACGTCGCACTTCGGTCTCCCACTTTCCGAACCGCACTTTTGATTGACAAATTCCACCGCGCTTTCGCCTCTTATGACGCGTCCAAATACGACGTGTTTGCCGTCCAAATGCGGCTGCGGATTCACCGTGACGTAAAACTGATCCCCGTTCGTGTTCGGACCACCGTTAGCCATGGCGAGTACATACGGTTGCTCGTGGTATCGACTGTTTATGTTCTCATCGTCGAATTTCGGACCGTATATGCTCCCGCTTTTCGTCGCGCCGGCTTGATTCATAAATCCGGTGATAATTCGGTGAAATTTCGCGCCTTCGTACGACGACGACGCGCCCATATCGTTATTCTTAAAATTACTATTCGTTATCAGTCTCCTAAAGTTCTCGCTCGTTTTTGGGTGCGTGTCGTTGAACAGTTCGAACACGACTCGATTCGTATATAATCGACCACGTCGTCGTCCTTCTTCGTCGTTTCCGTCCGTACGAAAATGGTCCTCCCAAAGGTCCGCTTCAACGTCAAGAAACACATTCACGTAATCGTCTCTCTCGGACGATTCTCTCACGTAGATTTCGTCGCATTTCTGGCACGCTTTTCGACACTTCGCGAGCATAAAGTTTTTATTCTTCGCGCACTCTCCAGATTTCATCCACTCGAGGCATTTGCGCTCGTCGTCGTGCGTGTTTTCGCACGGTTTTAAGTTTCCGATTTCATATCTGGAAACTTTTCCAATCCTTCTTTCTGTTAACGACGTTTCCGAGTACCCGATGAAAGCATCGTTCCGGTCGAACTGAGAAGAACTCGAGAAAGAAACGAACTGTTGCGACACGAGTAAGAGAGTGATGCAAAGAACAACCGCAATAAAACGAGTCGCTTTTCGAGAAGATGAAAAGAGTTGGAAATTTTGCATTCGCTTTTCTTTTTCTGAAGAAAAGAACAGACGAAAGTGATGAAAGCGCAACAAACGGTAGTAGTATAGTATATCAATCCATGCGTTGTTATATAGTAATTAATTAGGGCTAGTATAGTAGGTTATTATTATTTTGGTGTAGTAGGGAGGTTCATCATGAGTTGTTGTTGTTGTTGTTTCTGCTGTTGTTTTTTATGGTGTTGTTTTTATTCGCGAGCGAAAGTCCGCGTAAAAGTCGTCGGCAAACGACGACGCTCGTAAATGCTTTCTTCTCCTCGCTCGCTCGCTCACCGCTCACCTCGTCCAATCGTAAGCAGCGCCGTTGGCGTTGTTGTATTGCTGCTGCGACGGATCGACGTTGTGTTGCTGTTGCTGCTTGTTACTGCCACCAGAATTAGAACCAG